ATTAAAATATCTAATCCAATAATTCCGTCAAAGTAATTATGAAATTCTAGCAGATGAAATTTAAATTCCAGGGGATATGGTATATCAAAAATTGTAAAAGCAGGTATTTTAATTGATTTATTGATAATATTATTTTGCTGAAGAACAGTCACTATTATTGGGTCATTGATTATATTTTTTGAGAAAAATTTTGAAGCTACTGATGGTTTTAAAAATGAATTTGAAGATCCAGAGTCTATTAAATGTCTAAGATTATATGGGGGAATATTAATAAATGGCAATTTGCTGTAGTTTACATTGTGAAATTCTATTAGCGGAATTCCTTTAGAGAGGCATGGGTTTGAAAATTTTCATACGCGTCGTCATCTGTGTCGTTATAATACGTGACTTGTTCGCTTTCTTCTTGCACGATTCCTGGAATTACATAAGTGTCTTGTTCACTTGATTCGAGATCATATGAAGGTTCTTCGAAAAACTCATCTGACGGAATTTCCGCATTATAAAGTTCTTCTGCCACAAAATTTGGTTTTTGTCCATTTGGTTTAAAAAAATTCCTATTTTTATTGGAAAAGTTTGACTGATGAGTGTTTGTCAAATGTCTGCTTGAATTTTGTGAAATTCCGCTCATAGGCGTAGGTTTATAAATGGGTCAATAATTTGGATTCGGGGCAAAAACATTTCTTGTTTGACCGGAATGAGTCGTTATATTTTTGTTTTGATATGGTGGTCTCATAAATGAAGAAGATTGGGGGTTTTGCATGGGTAAATTATTAAATTTTGAAGAGTTTGGAAAATTTTGAAAGTTTGAAAATGAATTTTGAAGAAAAGGTTTTTGAGCTATTTTATGTTTTTGAACTGAATTTTGGTTAACTGAATTTCGGTTTCGGTTAAATATTGCATTATTATTTTCCCTTTCTTTAATAAACTTGATCGCTTCTGGTAGATTTTGAGGACGCATATTTAAAATATTTGTACGAAGAGGTTCGAACAGTCCGTTTAGGAAAATGCTGAGTGTTAATTTTTGGTATTGTTCAATTTTGATAGGTCTGTTTCCGGCTGGCTCGTGTAGGGTACACCGAGCGTTCAACGCAGCAAGTTGAGATAAGCACCGTTCATAAAAACATTGTGCTGTTTCGTTTTGTTTTTGTCTCGTATTGGTTAAATCGATTATGAGGTTTTCCTCATTTCTTGAATCAGAGAAATTTCGAGTTAAGACGTCTTTTAGCTCTAACCAGCTGTTGATAGGTTGCGAATCAACTACTAATTTCGCTTGTCCTTTTAATTTACCAATTAGGCAATGCAATATTAAACTATTTTGGTAACAATTTACTTGATCTGCAGCTGGGTTATACGAGTAAAAATGTTTAATCAAAAGTTCACACGAACTAATATACCGAGACAAGGTAAACGTGTCACCGTCAAAGTCGGGAATAGCTTTTAAATGGTTAGTTTCGAAAGATGGAATGTTTGTCATAGTGCTAGATTTAGAATCTGTATTGATTCCTAAATTGGTTAATAACTCGGTTAACTCGTAAATTTTGAAATAAAGATTTTAAATTTAAGATTTAAAGGTAAAGTACCTACTTATAAAATTTAAATAAGTGTGTAAATTTTGTATTTAAATAATAGTAATTCAAGGCAGTTTAAAAACAAGATCTCTTGAAAAAATCAAAAAACATATAAATACGACTTACAGTATAAGATCCTGTAGCATTCTGAAGGCGATTTTTGTCCTTGACTACTGCAGGTCTTGCGGCTCCTTGTTGATGTGAAACGAGTGCCCTTTGATCCTCTGTAGATTTCACAGCTCCCACTGGTTCTCGATGAATCAGGCGAATCACGCAAGATTTTATCCAGGATCGGTAAAATCCTTGGGTTCACTGTTGACCGTACTCGTCACAAATTGCGAAAAATGTCAGATGTTCAATAAGTGTTTATTAGTCGATAGAGTGTTGAAACACAAGTAAAACACGATGTTGTACTTCGACTAATCCTACCAAGACTGCGCCAGTTAAGTTTTTACTTAATAAAAAACACTTTTTATTATAAAAGACAAAATTTTATTTTACAACTAAATGGCAGAGTTACGTACAATATGAGATGCAAACAGAGAATAATCTTTACATATGTAATTGCAGTTTTTAATGAGAAACTAAAAATGCTAACTAAACAAATTAGTGGTGGCTCACATAACTTACCTATTGTTTTTTTTTTCAAAACTGAATGACATGAAAAAAACGATTGAGCAAAAAAATAAAGAACAGCATACTTTTTACGCTAGAACTAGACTAGGAATAAGTATTACCCAAAACACGTATTCACCGACTCTACAAACAGGTTTTCGTTAATATTTCATAAGATCCAATTTCCATTCCATTCGTAATTCATAGCCTACAGTTTCCCGCATTTACTTGTGAAGCACTCGAAAGGTAATAATGTTAACTTTATTATTATTTCAGAAAGGAAATAAAATGCCGAATATTGAGCGGTTTAAATTTTACACCAGGGAAAATGTTAATTAGTTTGGGTGAAAAAACATTTTTATGTCTCAAGTTTTATTAAATTAGGAAAACCTACGCAATGTAAATTCATTTATGTGTGACAAAACTCTCAAAACTGTATGTCAAAGCGAAAATAATACTGTACCTGAGAAGAGATGTTTAGAAGTGATCTCGAAGATTTGTTTGATGTTGCTGAGTAGGAGGCTCTAACTAAAATAAAGAACGTTGACGACAAAGTTTTCCTTTAAAAGCAAAGAGAAGATTGCTAGTAGTGCTGACCTTAAAACTACAGCAAGAGAGACAATTTCACAACCATCTACGTCTTCTTTTGAAACATCTGAAATAGAAGTGTTTATGTGAGATATTGGAATGAAGCTCCACTTGAAATAACGATATTCAGCTCTCAGGAAAAATTAAAAAACAAGTCTTGAGACATCATTGGTTTCTTTCAGAGCACTTAATAGATTTGGAATTATTGACGACAGAGTGTCTACAAAAACTTAATAAATGATGCTAAAAAAACAAAAAAATTGCCTGATTGTCTAGGTCGCAACAATTAAACTAAGAAAAATAATCTTACTATAAAATTTGTTACTGAAAGAACCAACTTGCAAGGTAAAAAGTTATATAAGATATCCAAATAGAAAAGTTGTGTATGTTTCAAGCATTTGTATCCTGAAAAGTAAAGTAATACGACTCCCATTGTACTTTTTTTCTAGAAACTTTTATTTTAAAAAAAAAATATGCTTTATAAGTTTTAAAATAAGGATAGAATTTTATGAAAACAAATTACTCTGCAACCAACAAAAAGAATTTAATTTGTATAATAAAGACCCTTGGATGGATAAATTAAATTGTACACGACTTTTTTAACACGAAACTACTATCGCAAAAATACGTTGGTTTATTTTTTTTTATGTATACACAGAGAAAAAGCTTTCATATCGTGAATGGGTTAAACATTGAGCCAATGGTGTACTGTATTTGTAATACCTGAATTACAGCTATGATCAAATAAATGATTGTCTTACATTTATTTGTGCAAACCTGCTTAAAAAATTAGTTCAAACATATATGTTTATAAGAAGTCATTAAATAAAATTGTGATTTTATTAAATCTGTATTAAAACTTTAGTTAGTTAAAACATAAGAAATTATTGAATTAAATTGTTATTTAATTGAAGCCACAATGAATCTAAATGAAAAACTATCATTGGCATAAATTAAATGCAATCAAAGCTTTAATTCCTTTATATATGCATATTCTTGTGCAAATATTAGTTGTATAATACATTAATATGAATGAATGAAAACTGCTTCTGGTAGTCTTGTGTTCACAGGTTTTTCGATCCATGTAGAAACTATTGGGAACCCACCAGAAGTGTTGGCGATATTGGGCTGTAAGAAAGTTGCTGACCCATCATTAGCTGCAGTTACTGTACTGGATGTGCAGAATCTGTCTGCCATGGCACATGGATATTCTAAAACGAAATAGGAATTATATCTTATGTATTTAGAGGCGAATCCTAAAGATTTCTGAAAGCCCCAAAGCAATATATATACTACACTACATACACCGAATATCAAGATAAACTGTGTCCATATACCTATATGAGTACACATTTACCTTTTTGTTATCATTTAGATATAATTGAGTAATTAAATTACTGGATAATGCATGGCGGACATACAATTAAAAAATATGTACAACTTACCTTGAATTCGGGATTAGGAAAGAAATTAGCCAATATAACAAACAACCAAACACTACCTACACTCGGCGTCACCAAAAATACCAATTAATCAGTTGATGACATTTAACTATACGCACGTACGCGATTGCAGGTTGCCGATGTGTGGTGTGGCAGGGGATGCCCTGGCGCGTTTGTCTGAATTTTAGCAATCATTAAATTGAATATAGGCCGCATTGAAAAAATGGGAATAATAATTAGGCAAATAACAAGTATTTTTCAAGACAGTGAAACTATTGTATTCCATTGGAATACAAATCATAAACATTAAAAGAAACAAAGACTATTCTTATTTCATTTGTTTTTAACTTTTGGTCGAAGCATTATAACTATAATATAAATCAATTTTATATTTAATTAAATATTGTTAATTTTTCCTCGATCAAATAAACTTTGAATACAATCATTTCTAACATTTTCAAGGAAGTACACATTTCCATTAGGTTTAAATATTAAGAGCCATTCACACTATAGTGTATATATAACTTGATAATATTTTGTTCTGGGAAGAATATAATATTTGTAATAACATATTGATGTTATTACAAATATTATATTCTTCCCAGAGGGATTGCCCTTACCCTTAATTGCTTAAAACATATTTGATTGAATAAACTTTAACTTTTATTGGTGAAATGCAAAAACAATTAATTATAGCATTGTTATTGGCTATATCAAAGCATTTTTTCTGTAAAAAAACAGGTTTTTTTAAATTATTATAAATTAAATAAAATAGTAATTTTATTATGCAATAATTTATTAAATAAAATACGTGAGACATTAGTTTTGTGTGTGCACGATTTACCATACCATAATATTATTTCGTGGTATTTGTAAATAGTATTCTTCCTGTTGAGTGCGTACCAAGTATACCATAATTATGAAGATAATTAACTAAAAAATAAATTTAATGAATGACACAAACCTTATAGTAACTAAAACGTAAAAGTAGTGAGTCTAGTATGTAGTAAGCTACTACCGAAGGTACTTTTTTGTCATTTTGGGGGCCATGTAGTGCACGTCTTTATTTTGAAAAAAATAAACCATGACGTTCACATTTACGTCTAAACTTATTGGCTATTTTTTGTTGATTTTGGGTGACTTTTGATACTTTTATGACGAATTGCCACCTCTTCTTTAAAAGTACTCATTGCCTCCAAAACACTTATTTCACGCCGACTTCGGAAACTTGATAAAAATAATTGTCAAAACAACAATTTTGGCGGGACGGGAAAACCAATGACACTGTAACCCGATGGCAAGCAATTTCCTTTTGCTGTGGCTGTACCTATACAGCCAAAGCAAAAGAATCTATCTTTATGCTGTGGTACAGCATTACCCCTTCTACTCTAATGTTAAAAAATTTAAAATATTTATATGCTTACATATAATAAGAACAGTAATAAAAACGATACTTCAAAAAGAAACAGATCTTGGTGAAACTTGGTGAAACCTTTTGGTCCGCAGGCCTCTTTAAAAATGTCTTTTTTCAAACAAGGATGCGCGTTCTCTGGCATGCAGCAACTTGCTGGAATAAGTGTTGAGTTGTCATCTGTCCAGAAATTTAAATCATCCAGTCCACAGCATTTCCACCTGAACTGAATTACGTCAACAATGTGTTCACACATTCCTTAAACAGAAGATGATGATAAAATGTTGCTACTAGCTTTGGCCATTTATTTATTTGGCTACTTACTCTATTTCATAAATGCATTTTTATTTGACTAATAGAAAGCTAGCAGCCTACAATAGTGTGCTACAAAGGTATAATATTGGAAATTCGCAAACAATACGATCGTCAACAAAAACAAACTAACGTATACGTTCGCTTAGTGTGTAAGCAGCTTAACAAATGCTTTACTTACTAGGTAACCAAAACAAAGCAACACTAGTTTAGGTACCGGGATATAGAGGTATAGATGGCAACAAGGCAGCGGATGATTAACTCCGAGAAGGCTCATCAAGTACGCTGGTAGGTGGTCCAACTTATCAAGACATACCAAAGAATTAATAAAGAAGTGATCTTCCCAATTCACGGGAGACCTTCTTAGATTGGACAGGAAGTCAGTATGGTGGCGCCTAGGACTGGCAGATGAGAACACATGTAGGTTAAACCACTGCAAGGCATTTCGGCCAAATAAAAAGTCAGAGCCAACACCAGGGAACCACTCTCCAAGCTTCGAAAGCTATCGGCTACAAGCAATCTGGATACAGAGTTATACGAGTTACTGGAGCAACAAGGGCGCACCCACCTATAGTTTTAATCTAGTCTATTAAATAAAAAATAGTTATTTACCAGTTGTGCGACATTTTACCAGATATCCCGTTTGTTTATACTCTTCAAAGTACGCCTTTAAAGCACGACGCTCATAAACAGTGTATTCCCAATACAATCCTTTTTGTACAAATGCTGCTATACATAAAACAATGCTTGTTACAGCAAAGAGAAGTATAAATATAGCATACTAAAATAAAATAACTATTTTTTGTTCAACAAAAGTGTATTTCATTACCAAAGCCATGAAAACCCTGCTAGGAGCCAAAATTCCTGTAATTCCGCATATCGCCACCACACATAAAATGCATCCAAAAAATGTTATGGTCGAACTATATACTACAGAATCAAAAAGGAATGTTACCACGTTTAAATCATACAATGCTAATATTCCAATTACTATAATTGCAATTCCCAAACCCTAAAAACTGTTAGTATTAATATTAAATTAAAATACGTTTTTAGTGTTTACTTACGAGAAAAATAAAGTTTATCACGACTGTAATCCATTCTAAAGTTGTTTTTAATGTACTCATGACTTAAAATTTTGAAAATGTCAAAGTTACATAACAAATTTAATAAATAAATTCTACCAATATAAAAATAAAAAATAGAACTAAAGTTCGTAATTCTTAAAACACCTCAACTGGCGACGGATTTGTAGTCATCCCCTATATCCAAGTTTGATTCTCCGGGTATCTAGTACTTCATGGGTCAACAGCCATTTTGCCACAGGGTGGCCAACAACTTTCCAATGAAAATTATTTCCTAAATATCCATAATTTTTCTCAGTAAGTTCTTGTTTTGACGATATTGTAAAAACCGTATTTTTTATAAGTGCAAATAAACAAACTCGTATATACACACCTTGGTTATAGACTATATATCTGAACACAGTGCTTCTGTGTTCAGATTAATGAAGAAGAAGAAGAAGAAGAAGAGGACCTACTTCACGTATGTCGAAAAACTGGTTTTTGACATGTTAAATTGATGACGCAATGTAAAACATTGGACGTTTTTACTATACTTATACTAAAAACCCTTTCAATCGGAGCATTGGTTCCTGGTAAACTCAAGGAGTTTTCGACGAGTTGTAAAATATTGTTGAAAAGGACATTATTTTTTTTGAAATGGCCAAAAATTTCTACCCTTCTTTCGTCAATTGGGATGAAGTTTTCTGTCCACTCGTTTATTTTTGAATCTGTGATATATGCTTTCAAGTTTGCAACCTCATCAAAGAGTTCGTTTTCATCAACATTCTTGTTGGGGAAAGTAATTCTTTTATTAGAAGCCGGAATATTAGTCCATGTGAGCTGAGAATCCAAAAGAATCCAATTGAGGTGAAGAAAAGTTGATGTTTGAAGTTTTGTCCAGCGATTTAAATACTCCAGTGCACATGAATAAAATTTGGTAGCGACTTTCTTAAAGTCCATCATGCACCTTGCTCCTCAAGTTTTGTCAGGATATTTCGCACTGCCAAAGGAATGTAAACTTCACGTAGTCTTTCTTCAAGTTTTGTTTGCAACTCTTAAATCACCTTCATTACTTCCATTAAGCTGATGTTGATGCCCTCAATTTTTAATATTGTATGATGGAACATGGAAGATTGGGCGTGAATGAAGTGCAGCTGCGGCGTTTTCGATTGAAATGCATAATATGCAGATATTATTTTAAACGCCAATATACTTTTATGTGATTATTCTCGCGGAAATTTGTACTTTGCCATGTGGATCAGTGCTTAATCTTAAATCGGTACATCTTTGGAACAGATTAATAAACCGGAACATTTACGGAACAAAATGTCGAATCGAAAAGTATCTGCCGAAAAAGGAACAGTTCCGATCAAATCGGAACGACTGGTCACCTTAACTTAGAACCATGTCGAACTACTTAGTATCGTTTTATTTTATTCAAAACATCTTTCTAAGAGAAATGCAGCCTTTAAAATTCAGTTTTAAGAATCATCTTTTTGTCATAACCCTCATTCCATTGAAGACATTTGATTAAATTTGATACAAGTGGCGTAGACATTTCTCTTGATCTATTTTAAATACTTCTGAACTTCGGTTCAAGGTAATAATTATTGATGATAATAAAAAACGATACGCTCTAAATATATCATAATAACAACAATAATTATTATTGTTATTATGATATATTTATTATAATTGTTAATTACTAAACATACGATTTTCGTAAGTAATATCATAAGGGCATTTAATTTTTCCGAAAAAAAAAATCGAAAAAGTTGCTAAGTAATATTTTTACAAGAAGCATAAGTGCTGGTGGCAACAAAAATTAGACTCAAAGACGAGGATTTTTTCACCTGCACAAATGCATTTTGTTAAAAAATACTACTTAGCATTGTGTTTTTTCGATTTTTTTCACAGGAAAAATTAGGTGCCCGAATGGTATTTGACAAGACTATTTCATAAGTAACAGTTAACAATTAAAATATAAATTGCAATTTTTGGTGACAACAGCAGCTGTCAAGTTTTGCCGCGGGTAAACTCGAAAAAACTGCTGACAGGTTAAATTATTTTCGAAAATTGTATCGTGCTAATGAATATTCTCAAAATTATCCCGATTCGAAGACAAGGAATAATTTTCTAAAAATATTCATGAGCGAGAAAAATTTCAGGATTTAATTTAACCTTGAGCAGTATTCCTTAAGAAAATTCCACACCAAATTGTGTTTAAAATAACATAATTTTAAAATTATATTTTTTTCTTTTAACATTGGCTTTTTTTCTTTGACAAGACACCACCATGATTTTTACTTATTGTACAGGGTGATCCCCTATAATGTCGCCCCCCTTTAACTTTTTTATTTTAAGTGTCTCAAAAAATTTAAAAGTGTGGTTATCTAGGTACTAAAAAATACTTTTTTCTATTTATAAAAAAAAATTGAAAATGGATCAATATACAGGGAAAAACAAAAAGTTTCAATGGATCACCCTATATATGAATTTATTTTTCGATTCCTTGTAAAATTCTGAAAATATTTCATATAACAAACCATATACCTAAACTCAATCGTTTCTGAAATATTCGCATTCGAAATGTTATCATTAAATGTTTTTTTAAACTGTTAGAAATCAAGAAGCCTCAGTATACCAATATTGTTATTGAAAATAAATTACCATAGTGACATTATGTCAATATGTCTTGTTAAATAAGTAAAAGTGGCCTACTCAGACAGAGAAAGACAAACTATTTTAACAAATTATCTTAAAAATAATTTAAATATTTCAGAAACGGTTGAATTTAGGTATATGGTATGTTATATTAAATATGCTTAGAATTTTAGAAGGAATCTAAAAATAATTACATATAAAAAATTAAACTAAATTTTCCAATTTTCTTTATACGTAGAAAAAAAGTATTTTTTAGTACCTACATAAAAATAAAAAAAAAATGAGACACTTAAAATAAAAAAGTTAAAGGGGGGCGACATTATAGAGGATGACCCTGTACTTGAACGGAGAAATTAAAACTAATATTGTATAAAAAAATATTCTGTGATTATGTCAAAAAATTTCCGATTAATTTCGCTGTTGGTTACCTACCCAAACGAAACAATTTTTTACAAAAATACATGTTGCCATGGTGACCTGTCAAAAAAACCGTTTTGATTGATTGATTTAGCTGGATATTTTTCGACTTCACGAGAACTTGGGGGTTTGACGTATTAATTGACGAGAAGAAATTTGTGCGATAAAATCACGAGACCGTAGCTCAAATTAGTAGTCAAATTAATAAACTACCAAGTTTGAGTTAAAAGTACAAAAAATGTCCTGCTAAATTGATCATAGAGTGGTATTTGTTGAGAAAATTCCACGAATAAATTAATTAAGTCATTTTTGTGTCACTTTGGCATTCCTCTATATACAAATCGGATTTAAATAATCAATACAGATTTAAATTGAAACCAATCAATTTTAAATTATGACTTTAAATTGACAAAAATGAAGAAATCAACAGCATATCGATGAGTTAAGAACCAGGAAAACGAGCGACCACGTGGTGGAAGGAGAAGAGTTAGGATTTTTGAAGAACATCATAATTTTATTATTATAGAGGAAATCCAATGCTAACATTAAATGAACTAAAACTTAAATTTAAGGTAAACCATCAAATCACTGTTTTAACTGAATGTTTAAGAAAGCATTTGGATGGCTTAATGTTTACTTTAAAATATATGCGCAAGGAGCCCGAACGAACCAACAGTCAATAATATAAAATAAAACGTCAGGAATAATAATAATAATAATAATAAACGTCTGATAAACGGTTTTCAGTGTAAGCATCAACATTCAAATATGGCGCCAATATGTTACAGAAATCTACTTCAATTTTTGGCATTGCTAAGGGTATTGTAGACCTAGATGGCGTTAATTTACTTTAGCCTTTTGCCGCTAGCGCTAGTGCAGTTTCCAATCTATGGGGTTTTTATCTTTGATCATCACCATCACCAGCCGACTCTGATAAGTATTATTGCATGACCTAATACGCAAATCTGTAAAAAAAACCCTGTCAACAATTAACCATTGCCGAAATTGTATTATATATATTGTATAATATACGCATCTTGCAGCTCAGCCACAAGGCGAAGCTTGAAGGATGGCGAAGGTAAATAAACAAAGCGCCCACGCAATAACGTAAATAAACCATCCATTGAAGCATACGTTACACGCCTGACACTGGGCCGTATTTCAGATTTTAATGCGATGCACCATAGGGCAGGCTTTATTATTTTGTATTAATTTAGTTTTAAATTAAATTTGGAAAAAAGTAAGAACGCAAAGACACAAATTAAATAATAATAAACGGTATAAACACTAATTTAACAACAAAATAAATAGTTCACCAACAAGGACAGGTTCTAGCAGCGTACTAACACCCCGGCTCAAAAATACAAGAACAGTACAGAAGAAAGAAGAACGACCAATAGCCAATGCAGATCATATGGAGGCATTCCACCACATACACTACAGGGCCGGCTTTTTCGATTTTGTATATTAATATTTGGAAAAAAGTAAGAATGCAAAGATATAAATTAAATGAAAACGGTATAAACACTAATTTAGCAATAAAATAAATAAAGAGTATACAAGGTTGGTAGCCGGAGTAAGCAAAGAACTAACATAGCCACCCCCATTCACGAATACCAATTGAATGGGGTTACTACTAAGGCCTAGGTTGAGGAGGATTCCGGATTGTACTTAGTTTTGGGTCAGTTCAATGTCCTCCAAAAACCCTTCCTAAACTGGACGTAGGGCCCGACCCGGCTGACAAAAATTCCGGGAGCGGCCTTCACCTTTGACACTGTCATACACAACCTCCTAGGGTGGAACTACCAGTCGGCGTAAAAACTTCGGATCCAACAAACACAGGTAATGCTGTGATTTGGCGGGATACGCAGGAGAACGGAAAGGGGGTAAAATAACCCCGGGAGATTAGTGGATGACAATATATCTGGGGCCTGCCATACGTTCCCATACTCATACTCATACTCATACTTTGGCATTCCTCTATACAATAATACATCCGTTACTATGGAGAAGGTAAATAGAAAAATATTCACCAAATTTGGTCACTTGCATTTTTGTTTCTTTCTTTTTATCCGTTAGCAAATCGTATTTTTGACAGTTTTCAATAGGTTTAAATTGTCAAATAAACAACTGTTCAAAATGAGAACCGTTCTGCTGTATACACGCTTGGATATGTCTAATAATAGCACATTGCAAATTGTTAATGTTACAGCACTAAAACTTTTCAAATTTGATTTTATTAAAAACAGGATTTTTAGGGGGAATAACTTTATAAATGTGTAGAAAGTTATGTAAAGTAAATTTTTACGAACCATCTTTGGTTTATCATAAATATTTTTAAATAAAATGGTAGTTTGTAATATGCAATAATTTATTAAATAAAATACGTAAAACATTAATTTAGTGTGTACACCATTTACCACATCCAATTTCTTGGTACATGCAAAAAGTATTCTTCCTGTTGAGAACGTATTAAGTATACCATAATTATGAATATAGTTAACTAAAAAATAAATAAATGTACCTTTATATGATACAAAACTTAGAGTAGAGGGTGTAATGTAGTAGAGGTTTTGCGCGGACGAAATCTCGATAAAAAATATATTACTCTGAAAACGCTTGACACCATAGCTTTAGTGATGGATGCACGATGAAAGCCTCAATGGGCCTTGTCTGACACCATGCACCATACCACGTAACCATACCGGCGGCACGCAAATTGCTTCATTTATAAAGTAGGTACAGCAGGTCCACTACATTACCCCATCCACTCTAAAGTTAAAAACCGGTTTAAAATATTTATATGCTTACAAATATTAAGAACATTAATAAAAACGATACTCCGAAAACCGTCATTTCTAGGTGAAACTTGGTGAAACCTTTTGGTCCACAGCCCTCTTTGAAAATGTCTTTTTTTAAACACGGATGCACGTCCTCTGGCATGCAGCAACTTGCTGGAATAAGGGTTTTGTTGTCACAATCTGATATCCAGAAATTTACATCATCCAGTCCACAGCATTTCCACCTATACTGAATAACGTCAACAATATGTTCACACATTCCTTAAACAGAACATGGTTATAAAATGTGTCTACTAGCTCTTCAATACTTCATTTTAAAACTTCCCACCATCAATTTTTCGAAATGTAGAATAAAAAAACGCTTTTTTACGAAACAAGGTGTGATATAAATGAAACAGAATTCCATAAAAAAAAATATTTTAAATGTTCAAAATTTGCTCCGTTATTTGCTAAACAATAATACAATCTGTTCTCAAACTATTGTGTTTCAGGGGTTATCTGCCTACATTCTTTAATTATTCTTAGTTTGAGCTCTTGAATGGTCTCAGGAGGTGTTTTGTACACTTTTATTTTTAAATGACCCCAAAGAAAAAAATCAAGTGGCGTTAAATATGATGATCTTGCCGGCAATTCTTGAGCACCTCTTCTACCAATCCATTTCTCGGGAAACCTTTGATTCCACCATTCTATGACTGCTAAAGCATAGTGAGGAGGAGCTCCATCTTGTTGAAATTTCAAATGTCCTTCATCAAGCAACATGTTTTTTTGTTCGCCCTTCTGATTTTTTCATCACTGGGTAATAAGTAGGTCTATAACATTTTCAAGAAGATCAGGATATAATTGTCCAGTCAGGTTTTCTTAAAAAAAGCGGTCCAATTATTTCGTTGCCAAGAATACCATACATTGATTTTTTGAGGATACTGAGTATGATCCTTTCGTAAAACATGTGGATTTTCATTGTCCCAGTACCTACAATTTTGTTTATTTACAAATCCATTTATAAAAAAGACGATCGCTGAAACAATTATTTTTAATAAATTGGGCGCAACCGCAATTCTTTGCTTCATTTTGTAAGAAAACTGGATTTTTCTGTTGTAGTCATCTTCGCTGAGTTGCTGGCACATTTGAATTTTATAATTTATAATTTAAAATTTTTAGCACCTTATAAACGCTATCCAACAAAAATATTTGTTAAAGCAGCTACTTTTGGAATGGGTGTGGATCCCACAGCAAAATGACCGAGAACTTCAATTTGTGCAGCTTCACTTTATTTCTGTTGTACACTGAACCAGTTTCCCTAATTTTTTTCACCAGGTTTCTGACGTATTGATGGCCTAAATTTTTGCCTGGATGCCTCTCATTAAAAACGCGAGCACAGGAATCGATCCGTAAATAAAAATTAATTCGGTTCTTTCTGCTAGAGAATATTTAATTTTTCTAATATTTAGGTAGTTTGATATATTAATAAAAATTTTATAAAACAGTTTTTTTATATAATTTTTTATGGAATTCTTTGTTTTATTAACCACAAATTTTTGCAAAACCTTGATCGGATTTTAATTTGTTTAACTTTAATGGATCAGAAATTGAATTTCCTTTAAAATGATATTGTAAGCTGAAGATGAGAGGGTGCAATATAAAATGTGTTAAACATTTATACTGCCCTCTCAGCCTCGACCTGTTCTTGCTCAAGTTCATATTTACTATAACTCATAATTTATTAAGGGTGGCTAGTTTTAATTGAAAGCCCTGTATAATTATAACTTATAACTCTAATTGAAGCGTGGTAATTCAAAAGCGTCTAAGTGCCGCTGCCGTGCAAAGCACAAATGTATTAAACAATATTAAGTAATGCATTAGTTACCACCTTTTTGCTTAGCACTGCAGTAGCACTTAGACGCTTTTGAATTACCACGCTTCAATTATAATTTTATATATTGTTTTTAAATAATAATGGTTATTTACCAGTTGTGCGACACTTTAGCAAATATCCTGTTTGTTTATACTCCTCAAAATGCGCCTTTAAAGCCCGATGCTTATAATCAGAGTATTGATAATAATATCCTTTTTGTACAAAAGCACTTATACATAAAATAATGCTTGTTATGGCAAACAGAATTATAAATGTAGCATACTAAAATAAAATAAGTATTTTTTTAAACAAACGTGTACTAATTTTATTACCAAATACATGAAAACCCTGCTAGGAACCAAAACTGCTATAATACCGCATATCGCCACTAAACATAAAAGGGTCCCAATTAATGTTATGGTCGAACTATATACCACAGAGTCAAAAAGGAATGTAACCACATTTAAATCATACAATGCTAATATTCCAATTATTATAATTGCAATTCCCAAAGCCTAAAAATATTTAGTATTAGTTTTAAATATAAAAACGTTTTTGTATTTACTTACGAGAAAAATAATGTTTAACACGACTATAATCCATTCTAAAGCTGTTCTTAATACACTCATAACTTGAAATTTTAAAAATGTCAAAGTTACATAAAATCACATTAAATTTAATAAATACCGACTATACCAACTTATAAAAAATAAAATCTTGCAGAACTTAAATTTTCTGTCAAAATATTTAAATATTTAATATTTACTGTTATAACTTGTTAGTGTTATGTGGTATGATAATTTATGATACAAAAATTATATTTGCCTGAAATATATTTTTTTTCATAATAGGAAAAAATGTACACTTACAGGCAAAATAATCGATCCTCACAAATTTTCGATGAATTTCAATCGCAAATAACTTTTTTATTTGATGTCGGATTTAAACGAATATTAAAGAATATTGTAGATAAATTAATGAACAATCGCACACATTTTAAAAAATTACTAAAAAATAGACGTAGTTTTATAATATACAGGTTTAAACAAAAAGATATTTTTTACCATAAGTTAAAGACACTCTGTAGTGGCAAAACCGTATATTGTTCTAAATTAAGTTTTATTTGTCAAGTCACATCTATTCTTAACAGTTTTGTTTTTGGTTCACCTCGATATATTTAATTTTTGTGGAAAATATGGATTTTTTAAAAAAACATTGCAATTTCCAATATTTTTCTGTATGAAGAACTAAGGTTGCTATGGTCCATCCATAGGCTATGGAGAATGACAGTGACAGTTTTTTTGAATCATCCCATACTTGGACACGTCATACACGGCTTTCAAAAGCTATCAAATTGTTTTTTGCAAATTAATGTTTACATTTTGAGGTGTCTTCTTACTTTAAAAAATGGATATGTCTCCGACTGATGTTGCCAGAGCCATTAATTTAATCCAATGGACGGCCACAGTATTACGTGGCAAGTGTTTTAAACGTCACAAGAAGTAAAGTACAAAGGGCAACATCAGTCGAAGACATTTTTAAAAGTAAGAAGACACCTCAAAATTAACACATTAATTTACAAAAAACAATTTGATAGCTTTTGAAAGCTGTATATGACATGTCCAAGTATGGGATGATTCAACAAAACTGTCACTGTCATCCTCCATAGGCTATGGATGGACCATAGCAACCTTAGTTCTTCATACAGGAAAAATATTGGAAATTGCAATGTTTTTTTTAAAAAATCCATATTTTCCACAAAAATAAATATATCAAGGAGAACCAAAAACAAAACTGTTAAAAATAGATGTGACTTGATAATTAAAATGTGAGCGATTCTCCTATCTACAATATTCTTTAATATTTTTTTAAATCCGAAATCAAATAAAAAAGTTTTTTACGATTGAAATTAATCGAAAATTTGGATCGATTATTTTGCCTGTGAGTGTATTTTTTAATAAAATTACCATACTCTCTAAAAATGAATTAGTCAAAAATTACTAATTTAATAGTTATTAGTGGCTGCTTTTTCACTTGTACCATGGTATCCCAAAATTTAACAGCCAATTCTTATGTAAAATTGTTCCCTGAATCCGAAAGTACCGTCAAAAGTTAAAAAAGTAGAACAGTTTTTGTGATATAGTCAATTTTTCATTTAATATGGATTTGATCTCAAAACTGATCCACTTTCATAATTTTTTATGGTATTTTCGGACAATTTTACATAAGAATTGGCTGTTAAATTTTGGGCAGCCACTAATAAATATTAAATTAGTCATTTTTTACTAATTCATTTTTAGGGAAACAAAAAATAAAATTTTCCAAACAAAATTTTTTTTTTATTTAAATAATAAAAAAAAGATCTTGAGATTTTGATAAAAAAATTAGGAGTTTGTTGAATCTTATTGCGAAAAAATGTTTAAACAATTAATTAAGAACCAGAACCGTTAAAAATTGAAAGAAACAGAAGATTGTCTGAAGACGATGCAGTAACAGTATTGGCTTCGAGCGACGCGTCGCGACGTCAGAGTAAATGGCAAAATCTTATTAAGACGTTAAGACGTAGGGCAGCGGAACTTGGCGTAAGCAAATCACATTTGCAAAAATATTTAACGTGAATAAGGTAATTTCCTGCAAACCTCAATTTCGTCACACTTTAGTACCAAATGACGAAGGAAAACCATTTTGTTTGTGGATTGAAGAGAAATGTCTCACGGAGAGAAAATTTAAAAACTAAATTATTTTTTCGGATAAAGCAACATTTACCATTTACAAGCTTGTTACAAAATTATAGGTACTGGTCAGATAAAAATCTAAATTTTAGAATATACTGTAAGATCCAGTGTCGAAGAGTTACACTTTTATATTTGTGTTTTTGTATCGTGAACCACTTAAATAAAAATATTATACTTTATTGTTAAACATAGTACTTTCAACATATTTATCCTTTTATTATTAAAAATATGCAGGTAGAAACAATAATTTCCAAAATCTAAAACAACATAATAATAATTAGACATGGGTCGAAAGCAATGTTGCCACATGATGGCCAACAACTTTTCTAGGGCAGATATTGCAAAAAAAGATTTTTTTTCGAGATGCATTATAAAGTTATTCCCCTTAAAAATTTGTTTTTTATAAAATAACAGCCCTTGATCTACAAAATATAAAAATTTTAATGTAAAAAAGCGGGTTTTCCATAATATCCTTTAAACAATGATGGTCATTTTTGGAATCTAGAAAATTTATTGGCCACATATGGCAAAAATTTGCTTTTTTGATCTTTTTAGGGCATTATGTTAAAAAAACCAAAAACTTACGATATTTTGTAAAAAACTATTACTTACCTGTAAAATTATAAAGACTGTTGAATAAGTGCAAGTCCTTCTACTTATTGTGGTAATTACTCTTATAGCAACACTGTAGCAACCTTCTACATAATCCGGTATTAAAGTTGTATATGTTGGCGAATTGGGATTTTCAATGTCTATAACAACTGCTACTGAATACGTTGAACATTTTGATTCTGTTCCGTAGATACCGCAACAACCATACTAAAAAGTAAATAGGTAAATGTTTCAAATATATTTTAAGAATGACCCTATCCAAGCAAAAGTCTGAAAGAAAATAACCTCACTTTTTTTTTTAAATTAGGTATTACATTACGCGATATCCAATATTGTTAAATTTTTGTCCGATGTTTGAATAATAGTATATTAAAGAACTAATGTCATAAGACGTCATTTTGTCACACGCGGACAATTTATAAAACGAGCGACGAAGGAGCGAGGAGTTTTGTAATGGACGAGTGCGACAAAAGGTCTTATATAAAGGTCTTATATAAGACCATGTCATATGACATGAGTTCTTTATGCTTTTTTATCTATTTTGCAAAAATTCTATAAAAAAATTAATTCTATACCTTATATTTTTAATTTGGTCGAATTTTACTTTAGATAGTTGGTATCACAGTAATTGGTTTGGCAGCTAATGTCAAAATCGATTCACCATGCCATCCTTATTTACTTATTTACAATAAGCGGCTGTTAATGTTAAAGAAGAAAAAAAGGATTTTCTTTGGTGCTAAAAAAAATTTATTGCCAGAAAAGTACTAGAAAAATCATAAAAATATTATAAACAATATGCAAAATATTATTTTACTAGTATGCTGTTTAAAGTATAGGCATCCTATAAATCAAAATTTTGTGTGGGGTAAAGTATCTCATTACAGCACCGAAAGCGGTGATATATTGAAGTCATTATGAACGCAAAATGAATAAAAAACTTAAAAGCATTTATTTTTATGTTGCTATAGATTCAAGTAGTATACTAGGCCAGATATAAAGTTTTTTTCTAATGACTTGCAAATATTTCGGAGTGTGATGGTTTAGGTCATTTTATGAAAAAAAGTTTATATGAACCTGTGTTACATTTTTTTGCTACTGGATTTTAGAAAAAAAATTAAGTTAATTTGTCCGAAAGTTCTTTGGATATTATTTCCAATTTTGTATTGATATGATATAAAAACATATTTAAGTTAATAAAAATATGTCATTTCATTAATAAAAGACCCGTTTATTTTTAATGTTACGAACATTGAAAATATTTTTTTTTAATATTCAAGCATGTCAGTGTGGACTTTTCAAAAATATTTTTTGGGAAAAAATATGTTTTTATCCCTAAATTTTACCTAATGAAATTCATAAAACCGACAGACAGCTGTTTCGACCTATATTGGGTCTCATCAGTGTCGGACAACAACAGAGGTGAGATGTAAGAACATCAGGTGATCCACACCGTCAAACAACGTGGTCTTTGCCGCAATCGGAACATACTATGCAACCGATACTGCACACAACAATTGTATCACAGATACTAATATGGCCTAAAGGAATCTAGAATTAGCCCAACCGGGCTAAACATTAAGGTAAACATTAAATTTTTTTAGTTTCTTTAAGAAACTTTCTTGACCCATTACTGGTAATATTCATAAGAAAAAATTAAACCTACACCGCGCCAAACTTTGGCAGGGTGTAGGTTCAATTTTTTCTTATAAATATTACCAGTAATGGGTCAATAAAGTTTCTTAAAGAAACCAAGAAAATTGAATGTTTATGTATAGAGCCGTTTTAAATATTTAAAGAGGTTGCGGACCTAAGTTGGTATAAACATTTGTTTTGCTTAAAATCATCCAAGGATCAAGCCCTTTCAGTATGGGCCATCAATAAGGAAACTCCCTGTATAACGATTGTCAAATTTCATTAATAAATAGTATATTACACTACAAGGGCAGAAAGTGTGAGATTCCTGCACTGCGCGCCATGATGCCCGAGGCGAAGCCGAGGGCATCATGGCGCGCAGTTCAGGGCTCTCACACTTGCCCGTGTAGTGTATACTATTTTTCTTACTACCTCGGCCGAAAATACAACCCGGCCGAAAATACGGGAAAAAATTAAATGGGTATATCGAAACATATTGATGCCTGTCCAAATTTTAAGGTTATATTAGTGTCGTAATCAGAGTTGCATATGTTGAACACACGACTAAAAAGTTTTTACTTCCGCTATTATAGAGTGTGCGCGTATAGCTTGACCAATGCAAGAAACGTAAACTTTCTGCCGTGGAATCGGGGACCAAACAACGTATTTTCAGTCGAGGTAGTAAGAATAGTATATTACACTACAAGGGCAGAAAGTGTGAGATTCCTGCACTGCGCGCCATGATGCCCGAGGCGAAGCCGAGGGCATCATGGCGCGCAGTTCAGGGCTCTCACACTTTCTGCCCGTGTAGTGTATACTATTTTTCTTACTACCTCGGCCGAAAATACAACCCGGCCGAAAATACGGGAAAAAATTAAATGTGTATATCGAAACATATTGATGCCTGCCCAAATTTTGAGGTTATATTTGTGTCGTAATCAGAGTTGCATATGTTGAGCACACGACTAAAATATTTTTACTCCCGCTATTATAGAGTGTGCGCGTATAGCTTGACCAATGCAAGAAACGTAAACTTTCTGCCGTGAAATCGGGGACGAAACAACGTATTTTCAGTCGAGGTAGTAAGAAAAAGATATTTTTTTTTTCAATTTTATCATCCTATATCTAAAGAAACAAAGCGGTTGCGGACCTAAGTTAATATAAACATTTGTTTTCCTTAAAATCATTCAAGGATCAAGCCATTTCAGTATGGGCCATCAATAAGGAAACTCCCTGTGTAACGATTGTTAAAATTTCATTGATAAAAAGATATATTTTTTCTTCTTCATTTTTATCACCCTATATCTTAAAAATAAAGCCGTTGCGGACCTAAGTTGATATAAACATTTGTTTTCCTTAAAATCATTCAAAGGATCAAGCCCATTCAGTACGGGCCATCAATAAGGAAACTCCCTGTATAACGATCGTCAAAATTTCATTAAAAATAAAGAAAAGTTATCTGTAAACGGAAATAGCTATTTGTGTATTAAGAGCGCAAAGTGATACATTTTCGCTCTGAGCGAGAAGTTTGACGCGCGGCTATCTCGCGAGAGCGGCAATGTCACTTTGCACTCGAATTACACACAGGATTTTTTCTAGAACCGGTGTTTCTATAAGAATGTTTGATAAACATTAATAATTATTAATAACCTCAAATTTGACTTTTGTGTCAAAAGTCGCAAATACACTAAACGTTTCTTTATTATGGTTTCTATGGTAACTAAGCGAGCGTTTTGAATACTTTGTCGCTCGCCGAGCGACAAAGTAAAAAAACGCTCGCTCCTAGGAAAAGTGCAACTTTGCGCTCTCTTTTGGAAGCCCAAATTTGTACTTTTCGCTTAGTTGTAGAAAAATTAATTTATTAATCCCGGCGCATTCGCCATTTTTAAATACTAAACTAAATTATTTAATAATGGTTTAATATAATTATAAACAATGTATGTACATTGTACAATTTAAATTGTTAGTATTCAATTTTGCCTAATTAAATACAATTTTAGAAAATATAAATTTTAATTAATAAAAAATTAATATTAATAAACCTTTTAATAATTTTTTTTAACTAATAATATAAATTATAATAAATAGGTCTTTTATAGAATTAAAGTTAAAATGAATAATGGTTTTATTTACAATTTTGAATGATTGGGTTAAAACATAAAATTAAAAAGTAATATACCTACTAGCAAATAAATAATTCCCTTGAATTACAGCGGAAGTTGAAAAAACACAGGACAGCTAATAAGTGCATTTTACAAAAAAATATCTTTATTTAACAAATCGAACAAATATTGCACCAAGGTCAAAATAATTAAACAGACAAATCACATAAAAAACAATATTTATTTTAAAAAATAATACACTTAACAGGGTGGACTTAAAAATAAAAAATAAATAAACTTAACAAAAATAAAAATAAGCTAATAAAAATGCTGCACTAGATATTTTTATTTACATTTATACAAACTAAACGATATTTAAAGGATTATCAGTCATTGTAAATACCTACATATGTATATAACAAGAGTCTATAAAATAAATAAAATAATTTAAAATTTAAGTTTAAGGCAAGTAAAATTTTACTTGTCAATAAAACATTTGGACAACTTTGATAAATGTTATCAATACAGTTTTTCTACTCCCAAACTTTAATTTGTTTATTGGACATTTCCTACCTGTACTATAATGAGATTCATTATATTATATATACATTTTTGATTACAACACCGATTTTTAACTGATAGAAATGCAATAAACGGCAATATTAACCAATATAAATGTGATACCCGGAAATATTCTGTCAATATCAACTATATAAAACCGATTCGAAGTTTGAAGGCTTTTAAAAAGAACTATACTATTAATGAATTTAAATCAGTTAAAAAGTTACCTCACTTTTTCTTAATTTAAAACCCGATTGGTTTAAATCACAGTTAATATTGAAATCAGCATTACTTATGCATATCAACGTGAATAATGAGTTCAATATTCATTGTTATATTGGTTATATTGGTAAGTACCCAATGGTTACCATTATATACGAAAAAAAAATAATGTTAATAATATGCAATAGGAGTAGAAAAAATACTATTATATTTTAAGTTGGACAAGTAAACAAACCAAAATTTAATAGGTCTTTAAATATCGAAAAAATTACGTTTTTTATACTTTAAATGTACGTAATTTCTACAAAATCAATAAATTTTTAATTTCTATTAATCTTGTTTGTAATTTGTTATTTCGGGTAATAATAGTAATAATAATGTATTATATACAGTGTCATTTGTTTTTTATAATAATTAATTTTGTTATAAACTTTTTTTCAATTAAAGGCTAAGAAACAAAAATTAAAATTAAAAACATTTCAAACTTTTTCTAGAAAGCAATTTTCATGAGCAGCCCTGGGAGTTTTAACAAAAGGTGCTTAAAAATATATAAATATAAATTAAATATAAATATTAAAAACGCGATTGTTCTATGAAATATTCAGATGTCAATAACTCAAAAAATACATATTTTACTTAAATAATTTGATACCAAAGAAAATTATAAATTTATTAAAAATCTTAAATTATTCCCGGAACATTCGCCATTTTTAAAAACATATAAATTATGTAACTTCTAATTTTCTCTTTACGTCAAAAAATATTGAACAAGTGTTAAAAAATAAATATAACGTCAAGAGGGGGTCATTTTTAAAACAGACCTATTATTTATTATAATAGCCGGAATCTTATTTTTGACGGCTAGAAAAAGTTCAGAAACGCTGGGCAAGCGTACTAATAATTATTTAAAAGCAATTTTAGCATACAATATATTCAAAACTTTTTATATACAATTTACATTTTCAGTGTGAAATTTCACTCACGTGTTGCTCGAACTCCTCTAGTTGTTGTGTAGCATTTTTCATTTGTTGGTCCATAACACTCTTTATGTGTCTATGTTTTGGTTCGGACATATTTTTAAATGAAATTATACTAATTGATAATTCCAAGAATATTATAAAAGATAGGGATGTAATAAACTAAAAAAAAAACACATGCTAAAATAATTAAATTAAATAATTTAATCCTGGGTTGCAATAATATAAGTTACAAGCAAAAAATTATTTTGGACAATAAAAAACAAGATACAAAATAGCATTAACATCTTTTCTAGTGTTTTTTGTTCAGGGTGGTCCAAAATTGTATGCAGAAATAAAATTCTTGCTTCCAAATGGGTCATTCTTGTATTTGATTATTTGTACCAAATTTGAACCCTCTATATTGCCATTTACTGGTAAATAAAATCTGAAATCTGTCGGAATGTTCTAACCTTACTTTCTAGTCGCTTTATTTTGACGATTGTATGACATTTGACAACTTTCGCTAACTTTATCACGTGACTAAAAAGACAAAAAGCCACTGCTGCAAACTTCATCCCGTGATTAAAACGCCATAAAGTCCCAGTTTAGCAATGTAAATTTAAAAGATCACTTAGCATCATGGAAACATTTGCAATGATTGTGTTTTAAAGGTGGGCGTAAAAAATAGTATTATAACTTACAGCAATGTATAATTTTTTGTTATGACTTTTAGCACAGCAGCATCCAAAAAGAGACATAATAAAACTTAGACATCCCAACATGATAATTAACGTTGGCAAAGCCAAAAAATCCAGTCCAGCATATCTTCTTGGCCAATATACGTCATCTATATAAACTACTCCTAGAGCTAGGAGGGATATACTTAAAATCTAAAATTAAAAAATGTCCGTATTACGATAAGTTGCATGTTGCAAAACATTTTCCTAATAACGACTATTTGTTCTTTTCTAGATATAAGTAATATATATAGTAATTTTATTGTTTGTCTATTACAAGATTTTATTTAAATTAATTAAATATAATGTTTACTTTAATTATAATTATTTTATAAGGCACATTCCAGGTGCACCATGGTGTAATATATCTACCTATAATTAAAATAATTTTATTATGTAAACAATTTTTAAATCTTAATAAATTGATTTGTTGTTCACGCAACAAAACGATTGTTTTAATCAAAATTTATTTAACTGGATACTGCCAATTATTTAAATTATTCAAACATAGTTAACGAAGGCCGCGTTTATGCATAATTTTAATGAAGTAGGACAGTTCGACAAAACAAATATTATTTAAACTTTTACATAATAAATAATATTATCATAAATTTTTAATAAAATAAATCAAAGTATGTATTTAAAAATATCTACTAAAAATGAACAAAGTAATTGTTAAACTCATCGAGACTTTTTAAAATAAATATTGTTCATTTGAGCTTTAGTTTTCAAATTATCGATCTTTTTTATGTTCATTTTGAGTAAAGCAAAGTATTTCATTGTAATATTTTTATTTTATTTAATATTAAGTGACTATCCAAATAAAATTAAATAAATAAAATCAAATAATATTTCATATAATATATACTTCTATTAATTTCTGGGTGATTTTCAGTGACGTAGTAAAAAATGGTTTAGTAGGTAGGGTTATTTATAAAAAAATAAATTAAATTAAATATTTTTTATGTAATAAATACAATAGTGTGTAAAGAAAATGTCGGAAAAACTCTTTAGTGTTGGGGACACTCAGTAAAGTACGGACAAAATAATTAAACAAATTGTGGTCTTTAAGTGAGATAAAAAATGTCAAGATTTTACTATCTTTGTTTTTCGACATTTGCAAAAACTACATAGAACTACCTACATTGATACATTGTTACCTAGAAGTTACCATGTAACAAAATTAAATAATCAAATCAAAACTTCGTTTTGTTAAAAATACAAAAATGTTTACCCTGCTTGATTTTGTTTGTGAGGTCACATAAAATCCCTTGTTTACAGGATTCCAGCTTAAAATGAAGATCTTAATTAATAGAATTCAAGATTATTTAGCAACCGTAACAGAATACCGTAATAGAAGTTTCCTACAGCCTAAAAATTTTTTTAAATTCTTTTTTTTGGTCATTCATTTAAATGACAAACTCAAATTTATGATAAAAAGATAAAAAATAAAATAAACTTAAAAAGTACAATACCGGATACCCGCAGTGATCGTGTTAAACTTTGACAAATTTACTGTTCAATATTTTGCTATCTTTTAAATTATACATCTGGATTTTTTTATTATTTTTTTCCTAAAACGTACTGGAGAGTATTCATCATTTTCTTTACTTTAAACAATTAAAGTTGTTCTTTATAATTTATTAAATTTAATTAAAACTAATGAACTTAATAAATTGATTAATAAAATGTCATCCGTTTGAACTGAACATTGAACATGGCCTTCAGAAAATTTTCCAAAATTACAGGAATTTCCTTTAATTGTAAACAATATTTTTTTACCTTTAAAATTATAAATGATTTAATTTATAGTACCCATTATAGTAGGTATATTATACAGTGTGACCCATTTGTTTGCGACTCACCCCTGTAAAATATTTATTTATTGTGCGATTTTAACCGGATTTATTTTAAAGTGTAGATCTTGATAAACTGTATTTTTGGAGCAAAGGACGTCATATTAGTACAAAATACAAGGCCTACTATGTCAGTTTTTAAGAGTACATTTTTAAGAATTCATATAAGCGATTTTTTTAAACAAAATATAAGCATGGCACTGGATTCACCACCCCTCAAAACTACCCTATACTAAATTTTAATAAAAAATTTTAAGAAAAAAATGCACAAAAATAATTACAAAAATTTATTTTGTCACGTTATCCATGAAAAAAACATTGAAATGAAAATATACTAATATTAACATGGTACTATTACTATAAGTTTAATTTTATTTCAATGTTTTTTCATGGATTACTTGACAAAATAAATTTTTTTCTTAAAATTTTTTAATTAAATTTAGTATAGGGTCGTTTTCAGGGGTGGTGAATCCAGTGCCGTGCTTAGATTTTGTTTAAAAAAATCGCTAATATAAATTCTTAAAAATTTACTCTTAAAAACGGACATAGTAGGCCTTGCATTTTGTAAAAATATGGCGTTTTTTGCTTCAAAAATACAGGGGTGGCAAACAAATGGGTCACACTAAAAGACCTACCTTGTTGGTCTGTGGTCACACTGTATATTAAGTTTGATAAACGCCATTTTAGTCACGAATTTTATCGAGTAAGCTTGCGAGCGAATGTTTAATAAAATGAATGTCTAGAAAAGTTGCATACTATACTTTTACTACGAAAAATATTATTAGGTATAAAAAATAATTTAATACCAATTGTTTTATGTACATATGTTTATATGTTTTACCGGCTTATCAAATTTTTTCTGAAAGATCTAAATTTATCTTAACAACCGTTTAAATCCAATATAGAACCAGTTTTTCAAAATCAAAAGGTCATTACAAACGTGCATATAAACCTTTCATAGGTTGGCGTGAAGAAAGTGTTTAATAATTTTGTATTTTTATATTGAGATAATAAAATAATTTTTACATTAATATTATTTCACAAGAGCAGTTTATTTTGACGATTATTCAAAATAGTTTAAAAAATAAAGAAATCTACCGACCTTAGTATTAATTTTAAGCCATACTTACCTAATTAAAGGGTGAGCAAATTATATTACCGTACAATCTATGGATTATTATTTTAATGTGTTTTATTTTTTAAATTTAAGCATAAGTTTAGATTAAAAATAAAAATGCAGGATTACTATTAATGATTTTTAAAAGGCTGCACCGAGACAAAAAAAACATTAAAATAATAATTTTTAAAGAAAAATTATTCCGGATCCAGAAAGTATAGGTACTGTAATTCAAATTACAAGCGCAGCTCCCATATAAAACATTTTTGAACTCTAAGGATTTTTTCATATTTTGTCATGCATAAAAATAAATGGATATATATATATATATATATAAAATGTTCAAAACCTAGACACTTAATTTAGTTAAGTAACTGTGAAACACAACTATAGGTATTAAGGTAAATAAACCTGTACTTACCCCAAAAATAACACAGAAAAACAACAAAGTCACCCTTAAAACATTCTCGTTGAGCTTAAACTTCATTTTATTTAACCCGCTAGAAGCGGACTTTTCAAAATAACTAAAATCACAGCAAAATCAAGTTTTTTCATAAAACACTGACAAACATTTACAATCTGATAGCAGATAAGATAATGTTCAGTGTATTGTTACGTAGTTATCATACGGCTACCAATTAGCATGACCGCGTAAATTGTTTTTAGCAATTAGTTTTGTATAAATATTGAATTAATCCACACTTATTTTTGTTGATTTTCACGTACTAAATACATTGCTGAAATTTTATGGAAAATCGAACGCTACCGTAAAATTGTTTTGTTTGTTTTTAACTTGAAACAGTCGCATGTTTTCATTTTTGTGTTTATTCGACGCGCAATGGTAACATCTATTACCATAAATTTAAATTAATTAAGTTTGTGATTTACTTAATATCTACGTAAACATGCCATATAGGGAATTTCACGTCAAATTAAAGTTGTTTGATTTATATTATAGATAAGAGTTCAAAATTGTTATAATTTGGTATAATTTAAAGAAAAAATATAGAGCTTTAAATTTTCAATATATTTGGTTTTAGGAAAAACTTTCTGTAGTCAGTTTTTATATTTTGATATTAACACTATATATTTTTTGTTGATAACTTTGATCCGCTTGATCAAATGATATTAAAACTTCTTTAATTTTTAATCGATCTTTTAAAGATCTACAACTTTACTATTTAGCATTTATTTTTACAATAACTTGTTATACATACACATTTTAGATATATTTTACACAATAACTTCCCTAATGTAAATGACCAATAGAATCCAATAAAAAATAAGTAATTGGTTTGAATTGGTTTGAAATGTGTTTTGGCGCTATGAATCACCAATTCATTCCAGTTGCATTACTATTGGTAAGTTCCAATGAAGTCAGCGGCTTGGATTGAAAAATACCAATCCATGCCTATGCTTGTCTCTATTGGCTAAATCCAATAGAAATGCACATGGAATGAATTGGTAATTCATAGCGCCAAACCCATTCCAACTAATTAAAACCAATTAATATTTTTAAATTTGGACTAGAAAATACCTACCTGTTTATTTTTTATTCAAAAATAATTTTAGATCCCAGAAGGATAACCGGGTAAAAACCAGAATTCATTTTTAACAGAAGAGACAAAAAATTGATTGTTATGAGTAATTTTATTTCTTTATTATTTTTTTTTGTGAAATGTATGTATTGATACATATTACTTACTATCACAAAAAAGTAATAAAAAAATAAATAAAATTACTCGGTTATAATCATTTTTTTGACTTTCTTGCAAAGGATGTTTGTAGGCATGGTGGAAGTCGATATTGTTTATGTCAATTTTTTTTATTTTGTCCGCTGTGACAACCATTCTTACGCCAACGTCCCTAAACCTTACACATATAAACATTTTAGATTTAAGATATAAGTACACTACTACTATCACTAGGCACTTAACACAGAAATCGACTAATAAAAAAAACCGCTAATAAATGGCGTCCAAAGACTTGTTTGTGTTGTTTTTTCTTTATGATGGCGTCTCAACCTCGTTGGTTTTGCGCAGCTACACGAGAGCCCTCTTGCGATATTTGTATTGTATTGGGAATAACCAATTAGCAGATTTTGTGAATCTTACACTGGGAATGCCCAATTGAATTCAATTGGAAATTACCTATAGGTAGCTTTATCCAATCGAAACCGCTAAAAAACAGTAGAATCCTAATTGGATTTTTCCATATTTTAAAGTATTGGGAATAACCAATTACCAGATTCCTTTTTCGAATCTTACACTTGAATTTAATTGGAAATTACCCATGGGTAGCTTTCCAATCGAAACCAATAAAAAACATTAGAATCCTAATTGGACTTTTCCATCATGGAAAATACCAGTAAAAACCAATTTCTGTTTTATATCGCGCCCAATTAAATCCAGTAAGTCCAATTGAGACCCATTGATACCAACCAATACTTCAATTGGTTTCTACAGGAATTAATCGGTCATTTACAACAGGGTTGTTATATATGCACATTTTACATATGTGCCTGTTAAAACCCGAAATGGGTTATTAGGTTTATTTCCTCAATAAAAAAAATTTAATTAATTTTAGACACTCAAAATTTAAAAATTATTACGTTAATTACGTTATGCCCATAAACAAATATTTTAAAAATTTCAAGCTCTAAATTTTTAGTCTTAAAAATTTTTTTGTCCAACCAATAGGAAACGAGATCAATCGATTCATTTTTTTCTTTTAACCACCGGGAATTTGGCATTAAGTCCGTGTTACAGTCTGCAATACTCTTGCATATAAGTCTATTACTGTTTTAATTCCCTAGAGGTGCTGGTTTGTTTTTAAAATCATTGGTGTATTGTTTCTTTGTGGCTAAATTGAATTTTAATTGTACATTATAATATTTTATATTTTTCTTTGCTTGGAAATATTGCAGCAAGAGAGGTTGCTGCAAAAAAAATTGCAGACTAATACGGATTTTACACTTTTTAAACCATCAGGAATACTATCCACCAGACATAAGAGATTGAATGTACTAAATTCTTTTTATGGGGCAAATTTAACTGCCTTATTGTTAAAACTAATTATTCTGGAAATAAAATGAAATTGGTCAATATAGTTTATATTAATAAGTTATCATAAAATAATACAAAACAAAGTAATTTAAAAAAATACTAAATTTCAACAATACCTCAAAAGAGATTAAAAATCAAAACTGTATAAAATACTTTTTAAATATTAATAACAAAATACATTTTTAAATACAACATTTAACTACATTTTAATTACTTTTAAGAAGACTAGTCTTTGGTTTAGTTCAGAAAAATAATATATATGGCACAGAAAATAGAAATAAAATTATTTTGGTCAAAAAGGAATATTTAGGAATGTCAAGTAATAAGTTAAAATTAAAAAGTTAGGCGGAAACTGGAGGTGAAAATTGTACTATATTTTCTTCTATAAGCTTCATAGAAAGCATCTCAAATACCTGCAGGAAAATATCTTGATTAATTTTTTCGTTTTGCAGGGAAGAGATAAAAAGTTGCAGAGCTGGTTGCAAATTTTCCTTTGAAAATATTATTTTAATATAATCTAAAAAACAATTTTTATGAAATAATAAACCCAATATATATTATGTATAATAAAATACCTGGAAAACTATTCAAAATAGCGTTAATATAAATATCCATCCCAACAAATAACTTGTTATTAATCGTTGTATCCGGTATTGTAAATAAGTGAACACAAAAATGCTGCACCAAGTTTTCCGTCTTTGAGACTATATTTTTTTCGATGGAGTTTCCAAAAGACAACATAATAGCTTTTATCATTGATTCTTGCAGTAGAAGAGATTCCGTATCCGCCAGCAATTCGCACATTATGTCAAAAATCGCTTTGGTAATTGGCAATCTTACTTCAAAATCGTCCAATTCGTCTAAAAATGTTAAAAGTTTAAGAATTTGGCGTTTAATTACTACTTTAAGTACGAGCTACCGAAAATTAGCCATGCTGCGCGACAAATAAATATTTATTTATTTTTTGTATGCACTTTTATGCAGCTAATTTTTTGCGTACTTATAAAGGAAAGCTTACAGAACGATTTGGAGCAGAGAACAACCATCATGGTTGAACCATGTAAATCGTATTTATTCCCATAAAAAAACTTTTCTTATATTTACCAAACTTTTAATTTAGATTTTTAATAGATAGAGTTACTAAGTTTACAAAAAAAATACAAGCGGTAATTACTGTTTTAAAAACATTCTAGTTGGAGTTAAAAATAAAACTACAATTTTTTTACCAAAACTTTGTTTTAAGGTGTTTTTAAAAGGGTTTTAAAATTTGTTTTTTCCGGAAAATTTTCATTTTATTCGAAGGGTAATACGAAAAAATTAAAGTCAATTTTTCTGAAAATTTACATATATATATATATCTTTTTTCTTGATATCAGTGTACATATATGTACACTGATATCAAGAAAAAAGTGAATGTTCGACTCTGATTATAGTTATAATCATATAATACATGATAATAATTATTCCTATTATTATAATTTAGTAAGAATCATCTACCGTGTCGCAAAAAAACAAATTCGGTGCTGTTTTAACATACAGTTGTATTCAATAAAAAAGCGTACAAGAATTAGAATGAGAGAAATCTGTCAAAATAATATTATTGCTTAAAACCGGCTTATCACTGACATAAGTCATTAAAATAATTACTGTAGGTTATAAAGAGCATTGACGTCGTAGGTTAATTAAATAATATTACAAAAATTATTAATTTTTAATATAGATTTTTTATTTCTATTATACCACGGTACGAATTGACCATTCTTCTTCGATTCTTGATACTATTTAAGCCTTTTTAACTGACGAGGCATTTTTATTTTCTACTGTCAGTTATAGTGACTTAAGTCAGTGGAAAGCCGGTTTTACGCAATAATGTTGACAGTTTTCTCTCATTCTAATTCTTGTACGCTTTTTTAATGAATACAACTGTACCATCGTTTTATTTGACACATTGATTTATAAAATTATAATTTTGTAATTTAACTTTATAAATTATTCATTATTTTGTAAAACGATATTTTCAATGGACTCCTTTTGCAAAAAGGGCCCAACCGTTTATTTTCTTATATCAATTCAATTCAATGTTTAGTTTTATTTGTTTTTTTCTGTAATCCTTAAGGATATATTTTGTTAATAAAATAATGTTAAGTTGTTGAATGTTTTGTATATTGTCAGAAAAAAATCAATTTTTCCAAAGAAGTAAATTTTTTCAAGGCCTTGGAAAAAACAGGTTTTTTCCCCAATTTTTTAATTTTTTTCTGCCACTTTAAAACCCTAGTTTTTAACAAATATTCCTAAAAACAATAATATTTAAAACTAAACGCTTACCTTCAAATTGTACCTTGCTACCAATGTCAACAGGATTACTGATAGACTCCAAAGAATCAATTGCCTCATAGGCAGTGTCAACCTTACAAAACTCCTTTCTCTCATTTAATAACTTGTGGACTCTCGACAATAAATCATTTTCCTGAAAAATTAAATATTCAATTCAAAATTCATAAATATAAATTAAAAATCTTACAGTTTCTTCGTTTTCAATAAACATCCAACCTTCTGTGTTTAAAATATGATCGCTACTATTACCAGGAAGGGCCGTCTTAATGGTGTTAATAGATTTATTAATAACTCCGGTAGCAGTTTTTGCGCACAACTTGTAAAAACTGGGCATGACGCCATCCTCCATGTCGGTCCCTGGGTCCTGGTTTATTTTTTGAAAATCATCTGGAGGCCTAAAATGCATCTTTCATTCACAAAATTCTTCCAATTTAAAAGTTAAAGCGTTTTTTCTCGAAGCAAGCCCAACTCAGTCAATTTTCTTTGAAGATGGCATGGCATTAGCAATAGCCAATACAATATACAGTGTTGGCCATAATTTTTGCAACCACTGTAAAAAAAATCTAACTATAAAACGTCTTTATTGTTCTTTTTTGGATAAAAATACTTCAACTTATATCTCAGTTTACGTCTTCGAGGGTTTTTCGAGAAAATATTTGTAAAGCCCTTTTATTTAATAATGAGGGTAATAGGGTAATTTAAAAAATATGCTGTTAAAGACCGTATTTTTGTTAGTATACCCTGAAAATTTTGTACAAATTAAACGAACAGTAACGAAGATATAGCGCTTCAAAGTCGGTACCTAATAATGGCCCCTTTTTGATTATTTTGCTGAAGTGGTCATTTTTGACGACTTTGAATCGCTGTATCTTCGTTGCTGTTCATTTGATTTGTACAAAATTTTCAGGGTATACTAACAAAAATACGGTCTTTAACAGCATATTTTTTATTTACTTAAAAAAAAATTACCCTAAAAGTTATTTTTCGAACGTTTTTTCATTATTAAATAAAAGGGCTTTAAAAATATTTTCTTGAAAAACCCTCGAACACGTAAACTGAGATATAAGTTTAAGTATTTTTACCCAAAATTTCATAAAGAATAATAAAGGCGCTTTAGAGTTAGATTTTTTTTACAGTGGTTGCAAAAATTATGGCCAACTCTGTATATTAAATTTTAATAGCTAACTTTGCACAAAATTATATCACTCACATTGGGCTTAAAGCAGGAGTCGATAAATTGGATTCAGAAGACTTCTGCTCCAATAAACACCTCAACTTTGCGATAGTAGACTCCAAATCTGCGGGTTCTTCGTATTCCAGGTCTGGACTTTCTTCACTTTCAGTAGATATCGAAGGAATAACAGGGAAGTCAACTTCATCCCTGGGTTTTTCCGCATCTTCTGCAGGTTTTGCTTTTTCCTGCAAAATAAAATATTTTCGAACGCTGCTTAATTGCGGAACGCACTCAGTTTTGACAGCTGCGAAGTTTAGTGTAAACATAACCTCAATTATTAAACATCAAAATAAGGCGTATAAACGATGGAGTTCCAGACGTTGAGGGAGTTTTTCGAAATTTTAAAGCACAAAAGAGGTTTGCCGGATAAAATAAAGATCGCCACGCAGTACATGAGGGAGTTTCGCGAGTTGGCAAGCACGAAATCGCACGACGAAGCGGTGGACTTCATGTTTAATATTATGCGCTTAGTTGTGCCAAAATTGGATAGACACAGGTCGACCTATAACATAAAAGAAGCGAGAATGTCCAAAATAATAATAAAAATGCTTTCCCTTCCACCAGGGAATGAAAGAACCAAACTAACCAGAGCATATCAGCAATCTGGCCTCGGTGAAGAATTTAGCGATGTAGTGTATTCAGTAATAAGAAAATACCTAATGAGCAACAAACCAACGTTAACAGTACACGAATTAAATAAATTTTTGGATGATATGACACAAAGAGATTCGGATTCTGAAGCAGATGAGATTTTATTAAAATTATTTAAAAAATGCACCCCCGAAGATGCAAAGTGGATAATAAAAATAATTTTAAGAGATATGAAGTTTGGCATGGATGCAGATAGGTTATTAAAGTGTTATCACCCAGATGGAGCAAACTTGTACACCATAAACAACAATTTGCGTAAAGTCTGTGAAATGTTGTTTGATCCCACAGTAAAGTTGAATGAAATAGAAGTTAACGTTTTTGAACCATTTCGTCCTATGTTATCAAAAAGAGTGGACAAAAAAACGTTTAAGAAGGATTTTGAAAATGGCAAAGAGTTTGTTCTGGAAAATAAGTTTGATGGTGAAAGATTTCAATTGCATATGGAAAACAATAGGTTTATGTACTTTTCCAGAAATGCATTTAATTTCACCAATGTGTTTGGGGGAAGTTTCGATAGTGGTAATCTAACACCAAAAATAAAAGGATGTATACATGAAGATATTCATAGAATTATTTTGGATGGAGAACTTATGCTGTATCATAAATATAGACAAGAATATGGTTCAAAAGGTAAGATTGATTTATGAAATATGATATGGCATATAATAATCTTATCTTAATATTTAAGTGTATGTAAATATCTACAATCAAATCTATTTTTGTTTGTTTAGGTAATCTGTCATACTTGATAATTTAATAATAAATAATGTTTACGATTTCCTGTTATTTTGTACAATGTTATCATAAAATCTATATTATATTTAAAGGGTGTCCCAAAATTGGCAGCCCAAAGGGTAAATAAATTCCTTTTGGAATTCCAAATTTATATTTTAAATTATTTAAAAATTAATAAAAGGAAAAACAACAATATAAAAATAAAATGGTTATAAAATTGCCTTCTAGCAGTGCTAACTATGTTTTATTTAAATAATTAAAATATAGGTATTTAATAAAAGTATATTATAATATGAGAGATAATACGCATTATCTACTCCTATTGCATAATATTTATTTTTTTCGTGAATAATGATTAACTCCCTTCCTAAAAACGGGGATAATGAAATCATTATTTATGTTGTTAGGCATCAGTGATTGGCCTATTTAAATATTCACTGTGATTTGAACTAACCGGTTTTAAATTGGGAGAAGGCGAATATAATAACATTTAAAATTGGTAAAAAGTGAGGTCAACCATTTTACAGATGTCAGATTTTATCCTAGGTTTGGTCTAGGGATTTTATTTATTTATTTTTTTAAATCATTTAATTATCTATTTATTGGAGTTGATAAAGTATGGTATTACACTCGAGATAATGCGTATTATCTCCCATATAATAATATAGGGTTAGAATTTCTCAAACGGGCCACCTGAATTAGGTCAAAATTAGTTTTTGTTTGTAGATACTTTTTTTGATAGTATTTTACATCACTAACACAAATCCTAAAGGATTTTGTAAAAAAAAATTTTAATTGACATATTCATGATATTAAAAGTCAAAGTTTTTAATAATTAAAAAATAAAAAAATTCATTATGGCTGAACTAATTATCCGATTCCAACGATATAACTAGCGTTGGAATCTTGTATTGATATAGATTCTTTGATATTTTTTTCAATTGTCCAATTTTCATTTAGGTCGATTTTTTTTTGTTTTTTTTTATACCAAATTCGGAAATAATTGGCTTCTGCGACTCGAAAAAAAAAACACATATACTCCAATCATTTCTCGAAATTATGCTGCTGAGAAAAAAAATGGCCCGCAGGTTGACAAAAAGTTATTCGTCCTTTTGTGGGTGCACCGCGGTGGCCGCTCACGCTCCGAACCGTGTACGCTGTACGCGCTTGTGACGCGACGTCTTACGGTGGTCTGGAATGGTACCTACTTTTCTAATCAAAATTATTTTGTGACCGTAATAATTGACTTAGAGCTTGCTAAATAGGCTTTATATTAGTATATACAAAAATAATTTTCGCTCATTTATTATGTTTTACAAAAAAATAAATTTTTCTGATTACACATTTTAAAAAATTATTCTGCCCTTATAAATAAATGTAAAGCCTTGTGGTTTTTGTTTGTTTTATTAAGAAATTGATTGGCTTTGCTGTGTGGAAGCCAAAAATATTTTATGTCCATAGTATTTTTATAGGTGTAGCGCCAAACTAAAGAAGTACACTTTTTGGTAAAAATAAAAATTTTGCCTGTATTAATAATCTCAGAGTCTTGTTTTGGTTGTTGATTTATTAAGAAATAAATGGGGTTTATTGTGATAAAATCAAAAACATTTTATGTGCATTATATTTTGTTTTAAATGGCGCCAAACTGAAATATTAACATTTTTTTATAACCAACACTTTGTGGTAAAATAAAAATTCTGCTTTTTTCGTGATGTAAACAAAAATCTGTACCTACCTACTAATAAACGTATTTGTGTTCTTTTTTCTATATGGAGCCCGGTCATACATTAATGTAATGTAATTACATAAGTTTAAATTATAAAATATTTTTATTTTGTTTATATAATATATTATAAGTAACAACGCCTAAACGGCAAAGAAAATTTTGTTTTAATCTAAAATCTAGACAGGAAAAGTGACAGTATTGCCTGCCTGGACAGCAGGAAAAGTGACACTTTCTCGGTTTTAAAAAGACAGTATATCAATCAATCCATGATTTAACCATGATTAACCATGATGGTTAAAAATAAAAAAAATAGTACGAAAATAATAATTTAATTTGACTTCTGAATAATATTTTACATTTCAATTTTGTACAAATTGCTTTCGTCGATAGATGAAATAATCTTACAAATAACATGTTTCGGTTTTGCGGCTGGTTGAAATGAATGATAATTTCTTGTATTTTGAATCGGGATGGCTTTTGAGAGACGAGATTTTAATTTTTTTTGCTCGGTTTCGTATTCGGCTGTAGTGCAGAAATTAAACGAAAGTTTTTAAAAAAAATTCTTAGCCCAGTCAAAAAAATGTTGGGGCGTCGTAATTTGTGAGTTTACGGGTCTCTGTAAACTTGCTCGATAAGCATTTCTTTTTTATTATTAGATATTACTTATTTTGTGTGACCGAACTAAATATAGAATAAATTAAATATTTTGATTTGGTCAATTTAAGAAAATTATTACGATATTAAAATATAACTTTAGTTTTTAAAAGAAAGTTACAAACTAAATCAAGGAGTAGAAAATTTGACAGATAATCCACGTGAGTACCAAGAAAAATGTAATTTTTAGTTTGGCGCCTTATAAAACAAAATATAATGAATGCAAATTATTTTTGTTTATATCAGTATAAAGCTTATTTATTTCTAAATAAAATACAAAAAAACAAGGCTCCAAGTCAATTATTAAGGTCACAAATTAATTTTGATTAGAAAAGTACCATTCCAGACCACCGAAAGACGTCGCAAGCGCGTACAGCATACACGGTTCGGAGCGTGAGCTGACACCGCGCGCGGCCACAAAACGACGAATAACTTTTTGTCAACCTGCGGGCCATTTTTTTTCTCAGCAGCATAATTTCGAAAAATGATTGGAGTATATGTGTTTTTTTTTTCGAGTCGATAGCTGGCGCAGAAGCCAATTATTTCCGAATTTGTTATAAAAAAAAACAAAAAAAAATCGACCTAAATGAAAATTGTACAATTGAAAAAAATAACAAAGAATCTATGTCAAAACAAGATTCCAACGCTAGTTATATCGTTGGAATCGGATAATTAGTTTAGCCATAATGATTTTTTTTATTTTTTAATCACTAAAAACTTTTACTTTTAATATCATGAATATGTCAATTGAAATTTTTTTTTTTACAAAATCCTTTAGGATTTGTGTTAGTGATGTAAAATACTATCGAAAAAATGTATCTACAATCAAAAACTAATTTTGACCTAATTCAGGTGGCCCGTTTGAGAAATTCTGAGCCTATACTAATATATTATAAATTATGGTTTTTAAACATCAAAATAAAATAAAATTGTTAAAACCTTACAACTCAAAAACCACCTGCCAGAAAAACTTGTATTTGATAAATTCAAATGCTGAATAATTTTGTAATATACAGGTTGACCATTTTCTGGATATCCTGGAAATTTTTGCAATCACAGTGAATATTAAAATTGGCCAATCACTGATGCCTAACAACGTGAATAATGAGTTGATTATTCCCGTTGTTATGGAGGGAGTTTATCATTATTCACGAAAAAAACTCAATATTATGCAATAGGTGTAGATAAATACTATTTATATTATATATGATGGTTTTTAAATATCAAAATAAAATAAAATTGTTAAAACCTTACAACTCAAAAACAACCTGCCAGAAAAACTTGAATTTCATAAATTCAAATGTTTATTAATTTTTTAATATACAGGTTGATCATTTTCTGGATATCCTAGACATTTTTGCCCGGGAAAAGTATGGTACATTTTATTAGAGGCAGAGATTTATTACTATAATTCAATTTAATACAATATATTTGAACAATTTATCGTAAGTTTATTTATGATGTCTGCGGAAATTTTCGGATTATGTTCTAAATAGGGTTTTAAAGTATCTAAAAAAACAAAAAAATTGGGAAAACCCTGTTTTTTTTCAGAAAAAAATTGGCTTTTTTGGGAAATAAAGATTATTTTTGGAAAATATACACATTTAAAAAAGTGGCAATCAACAACTTAACATTAGGTATTTGAATTTCAATAAATATCCTTACAGAAAAAAAATAAAACTAAACAATAAATTAAATTAAATTGATTTAAGAAAATAAACGTGAACGTTAAATATACTGTCGGTTGGGTCTTTATGAAAGTCCATTGAAAATATCCCATTACAAAATAATAAATAATTTATAATCAAATAAATCAAAAGTTATGTTAATACAGCACCAAATATGTTTATTTGCGACCCGATATAACATTCTTACTGGATTAAAATAAAAGGAATAATTATTAAAATCATAATAATATGATTATATTTAGCCTCGAAAATTTTTTTTTTCGATATTAGTGTACGGTTAGTATCCGTAAAAATTTGTAATTCAAAAAAAAGTTTTTTTTCCGCCAGCTCAATTTTTCCGGAAATTTTAAAACCCTATTCCTAAACTCAAAATTAAATAAGTTACACTTGTTTTTATTCCACATGTTTTTTTAGGAATGGCATTGGACGTAAAAAAACTAAATCCCGACGGCCCCTACCAACCATGTTTCGTCATCTACGACATAGTGATGGTCAACGACACAGTCATAACATCGAAACCTCTGAAAGAACGTTTGGAAATTCTTGAAAACGCCATCGTCCGCCAAATACCGGGCGTGATAGTACTTAGCGAGCACAAAATAGTCCAATCGCAAACCGAAATAATCAACTCGCTAAACGCTTCAATGCAAAACGAAGAAGAAGGTATAATCATTAAAAATCCTGATTCGGAATACAAGTGCGGGCAGAGAGTGGGCGGTTGGTATAAAATGAAAATGGAATATTTTGACGATGTTATGAGCGATTTGGATCTAATTTTAATGGGTGGCTCACATTCTTCCACAGATGCAGACAAGTTAAATACATATTTCTTGGGAATTAAATCTGGCGATAATTACGTTAGCTTTGCTAAAGTTGCTGGCGGTATAAATAATGAACAACGTGAAATGTTAAATAAGAAAATTAAGGAGGAAGGTATGCGATTTCAGGATTTTAACAACGCCGTATACATGTTTGGCAAGGAGAAACCTCAATTTGTTATAGAACCAGATAAAACCATGATTTTTGTCGTCAAAGCAACAGAGTTAATACGAACGAATGAAGATTTTAAAACTTCATACACGTTAAGATTTCCCAGGGTTTTAAGCATAAGAACCGATAAACCAGTTAATGAATGCATGGATATGAATGAATTAATAGACTTATGTCAACAAAATAAACCTGTTATTAAACTTAATAAACGCACCATAGATTTGGAGGAGGTTCTCACTGTAAAGCCCAGAATTAACTCTAAACTACTGAAGGTGGTAATGCCAACTATAGAGGATCTAGGAGAAAAACTAGATATACTAAATAATTATACAGTGCATGTGGTAAATGGCACCAAAGAAGCATCAAAAGATAGCATAGAAAATATTGTTACTCATATAGGCGGCAAGCTCAGATACATTGTGGACGAAAAAGTTGATATTGTCATTGTTGGGGAGCCAAACAAGAAACTGGAAGAAATTTTGGAAAAACCCGACAAAAATTTTGATGTGGTTTACGTAAATTGGCTTTTAAGAGTTAAAGAAAACAAAGAATTGCTTGGATATAATCCTGACGAAGTTATTTGTATTGGTTTCAATTTTAAAAATGTTTTGTGTGATAATGTGGATTATACTGGTGACGGGTTTTATGAGGAAACAACTTTAGAATCTTTGGCACATTGTTTAAATAAAGTCAAAACCGTAAAATCTGATATGAACCTAAATTCACACCTGAATGATATTGTAGGTAACATGTTTAAGTTTAAAAATTTTAATGTTTACTTTGATAAATATGAAGAAATTAATAATAACAATTCAAGAAATATATTTGATACATTTCTTGATGAAATGGAACTGAAGTATTATAAGGGAAAAATAAGTGAAACCATTAATTCTTCAGTGAATCTTGTGATTTGTTATAATGAAGAGAGACTAACCAATGTAAATAATTATTTATCCTGTGAAAATTACGACCATGTTGTAGCCAAACTATCATCATTTTTATATGAAAAATAAACAATATACCCACCCCATACAAAACACACTCTAATATACACATGTGTACTCACCAATAGTATTTGTCCGTCAGAATTGGGCGTATCCTGCAAAGGATTTATCCAGCATGAATCCACACTATCTCCGGAACTGTTCGTTTTTTCAGTAGAATCAGAACGCGTTAACTTTGTCGGTTTACTTTTCGGTCTCGAGTTGTTTGACAAAACAGCTTTGGCGTTCTGGATGTTGTCCTGCAATCCTGTGAGCCTTAGCCCTTTGCGCAGGCCTGCCCTACCAAAATCCAGCAGCCCTTCAACTACTCCTGCTGCTTCATCCTAAAACATTTCTTTTGATTTAAGGATATAGCATTATGTGTTTTGTAAAAATGTTAAGTTTTCAGTGTTATTGGACATGTGGATAGCGTGTATCGAAAAGCAAGCGCCAAAAAGTTTTTCTGGGGTAAAAAAAATTATTTACAAAATAACTCATTTTTATTGCTGCTCAAAAAATTAATTCTGATTTGGGAACCTTCTCAATCCTTTTGATGATGATTAACCTTTTGAGAATTATTAAATACGAGTTATTTTACAAATAAATTTACTAAGCCCAGAAAAAGTTTTTGGTTCCTTTTCGATAAGTGTTATCCATGTAGCCAAAATAACAACTACACAATAAATTCCACTACTACAGTATCTAACTACTTACTGATGCTTGGAGTTAAAAATATTAGCTCTATGAATCCTATTAAAAACCTTCAAAGTCTAGTAAAGCTTTAGCAAAGCCATTAAAAAAAGGTGAAATTATTAAGATGTGTGATTTTTTGTAATCTTACCTGAGGTACTGGTGGCTGTCATGTGTATTAGGGACGTGTAAAGAAGTACAGTGATTACAACATTTATTTAATTTTATTTTTTTGAAATTTACCTGGAAGTCGCCTAACTTCGTCATAGCGTTATTTACTGTTGATTCCTGCAGATCCTTTATGTTGTGAAGTGTAGTTACCGTAGCGTCACCTACAAAAAAAATTAAATCATGATCAAATAAAAACTTGGGAATCCAAAATTTGTTTTGCGAAATCTGAATTCAAACTTACTAATTGGTTTAATTGAACTTCTTATCCCCTCCATGGATGTAATATGCCTAACCTCATTAAGCAACATATTGGTAGCACTGGTTGGGGATTCCACAGGGTCATCAACTTTGCCCACCTTACCATCCCAATGAGTTTTAGGAGGTTTGTCATCGCCCAAAAAGGAATCCAATGGGTCCATACCAAAGGAAACAGAGATTAAATCTTGAGAATCATTCCAAACTTTTGAAGATGAGCCTTTAGGTTCATGTATTTTGACAGGATCTTGTACAATAACTTCTGCAGGTGGTTCATTTACAATAACAGGTTTCTAAAAAAGATAATTCCAAATGAAACATTCTCATAATATTTTTTTAATTACATACTATTTCTATTGGTGTGACCTTTTTCTTCTTGGGAGATTCCTTCTTGATAACCATTTTTTCTTTCTCTTCTTGCTCTGTGTTATGAACTTGTTTTTTTGTATCCTTAGACACCTTCCCCTTAACAATCTCATCCACTTCATCCTGATTATTTCCAGAGTAGGTTACATCAAAGTTTTCTTCAAAACAAATTTTTGAATAGTTCTCTAATTTCATGGAGGATTTTACAGCTTTTGATCCGATTAAATTTAGGATGTGGTAGTTTAAAAATAGTGGGCTTGATAATAAATTTAAAATGTAAGTTGTCAGTTTTCTTGCTATAATCGAAACCAAAGCATGGCAAGGTAAAGAGTTCCATAATTCCCAATTTATAAAATGATTCAGCAGGTTTATTGTTAGTTGGTGCAGATAATATTTTTGGGATTGTTCTGAATTAATACATACATGTGAGTATCTACAATAAATAATAACAAATATAAATAAAATATGTTAAACCTAATTGTTACAGATTTTTGTTCTTTCAAAACTTTTTTTTTTTTAATTTCAAATAAAGAAATCAAGAAACAAGAACATCTCAACAATTTTAATTTTTCTTTTTACTAAATAGTATTTAGTAAATACCTTCTATTGACTAAACAATATATTTAAATAAACAAGAAAAATTACTTTTATAATAATTATTATTGTACTAAATAATATTTTTTTTTATTTTAACGACATTATTAAAGATTTAAGAAATAATTTAAATAATTATTCTAAATGAATTTATTTTGTTTGGTCCCTCTATACAGTGGTGGAATTTTGAACAACATAATTTGGTTTTCCTTGTGTGATTGTGTAAATAGCAAAGATACAATAATGACCATATTTGCTTTTGCTGTTAAAATTACAAGAATAGTGACTGGAAGTAAGGTCCTAGGAGTAAGGTTAGTTGTCCATAAAGGCAGTTTAAAGATTTTGATGTCAACGGAATGATAGTCGTTTCACAATCCACACAACAAGGTCTGTTCTATCTCATACTAAAAATACGTATTAGTACTAATCTTGAAAATTAACATAGCGCTTAGCGGCAATAAACCACTAAAACATCAAACGAAAAACCAATTAAAGGGGTTAGAGCTGAAACCGCCCAAGTGCATTTTTATGTCAAAATTTTTTAAGCGTGTTACCGGATATTAGAAAATTTTGACTTAAAAATGCACTTGGGTGGTTCAGCTTTTCCCTTCAATTAATATAGAAATTAACGTTTTTCCAACATCCTTCTCTATTGACAATATAGCCAAACCCACTAGTCGTTCTTGGCACATACCTTCTTAATCTTAAATATTTTTTTATTAATTTAAATTTTGAAAAACTCTTTTCCCGGCGTAATAATAATTGTTTTAAACGGATACAGGCAACTTCAAATACACATTTAGCAACATTGGACTGAATGATAATACCTAGATGATGATACCTACTAAAGATATAATCTTTGGCAATGACCAGATATTATTTTGTCACACTGTGCTTACAGCTTGCCATGTTGCTAAAATGTACAATAATTTAGTTAAGACGCCTTGATGCGCGCGGGGCTTATAAAACGCGGGGCCGGGTGCAACCGCACCGTTTGCACATGCCTCACGCCGGCACTGGCAGTGGCGTAGCTAGCTTCGAGGGGGCCCCGTATCAAAAACCTGGTAGGGGCCCTTATACGGGAAAAGCTGCTGGCAAAAAAATTTCTGCGTGTCACGCTCAAAGTCTATTTTTTGCATTTATCAATTTAAACAGAGCACAAACCTAAATGACAAGAATTGTAAACAACAAAAATGGCCGCCATTAAACTCTTTTTTTAGTACGAGATAGAACAGACCTTGTTTTGTGGATTGTGAGTTGTTCGAAATTAGGTGTCTCCCACTGTACACTGTAATTGATCAGTACAATAATTTTATATACTTCTTTACGCAATCGTTTTAAAAACTCAGCAAGCTACGCTCGGGCATAATTGAGGAGCGATCACAGTCTTTAAGTTTATCCAGTGGCGGCTCGTCAGGGTAGGCCTCTGAGGCCGCGCCTCACCCTTAAAATGAAGGAACGAACGACTTTTTGTATTTATATTTTTGCCTATTGCAAGTGTATTTTTACAACAGTTCTACCCAATAAAAAGTAAAAACCAATCAATCATATTAAGCGTAAATAAAAATCCAGGCGCAAAGCGCGTCATGTTAACGTGCATCGTTGAGAGTCGCTTGGACAGAGGCGAAATTTTCACAGCCTCGGAAGCTCCCATTTACCTCTTGAAAGCGAAAATGACTCACCAACAAAAATATCGCCGTAAGTTCGCGAATAAACACCGTAGATGAGGCGAAATTTAGTTAGCTTGGCTTGTTCTGATTGGTGGTCCGTTTATGGTGGGATGCCAGCGGAGACAAAGAAGGTTGCCAGTCTTCTCTTAGCGTTTGTAGAGCACGTTATTGTTTTGATTCAGATTAAATTATTTAAAACTTTTGGCTGATCTTTTATAGTTTTTGTCTCGATTAGTAAAATTTCTTATTTAATTATTGTAGGGAACACACTAAGGTAGATTTAGCAGTTTTTATTAAGCAAATTTTATATTTTGAAATAATAGATTGCATAATTCTTCAATTAGAGACGCGGTTTGAAAATTTAAAATTACTTTTAAATCTCACTGCAGACCCACAATATTACGACCAAATAATAGATAAATTTTCAATCTTAAAAGATAGACGTATAGTATTTTATATTTTTTAATACTTAGGTAGGGGTCGACTTTTTAGTTTTATTTTTATTTTTTGATTAATTTATTTATTTTTAACTTTTTTAAGACTATATTTTTAAGTTTAAGATTAAAACTAGTCTTTGATGTGATATTTTGTTTGTTTTGTTTTTTAGAGTTTATTTTTTGGTTTAGTAGTGCTATCGGCTCCATTTTAAAAAAGGTCAACTCGTCGCAGAATAATACCTCCCGGGTGACGTGGAAATTTATTCGTATTTAGACAAAATTAACCTTATGTAGCCTCACCCTCCTGTACACCCACGAGCCGCCACTGAGTTTATCACTATTAATTAATAATTAAAACGATTGCGTAAAGAAGTTTATATTATTAATTGCATATTATACTTAAGTACCTACGAGACTTTAGCTATGACAAATGCAGAGTAATGTTTTTTCATAGGTAATTAAAAGCCAATTTTATTTGACAATTGTCAAGCCGTTTTAACCTCACTTTTCCCAATCCGACATCTGTCCAACGGTTTTAACCTTACTTTTTCCCAATCTGACATCTGTCAAAAGGTTTTAACCTCAATTATTGATCTAGTATAGATAAAGATTGTTAAATTACCTGTACAGTTCTCCTATTTCACCTCCATACTTCTCCTTTCGTTTTAAAGTCCGTCTAAACTCTTTTAAATGTTTCAAGTATATATTTAAAATACCATGCAGTAATTTTTTACTGTTAACCTGCATAAGAACCTCTGATAACCTATTCAAAACATCTTCCAAAACACATTTACTCTCAGCTGTAAAATCATTGTTCACACTAATATAGCGATACCACTTGGTAATAAAATACTTATCAATGTCTTCTGCAAGCTTCTTTACTGCCTCGGAATCGGGTTTTAACATGAACGTTTTTTCTGGGGTTTTTGCATTAGCAACTTTGAAGAATTCCAAGTCGATTGGTTTGTTTTTTTGCAGCATTTTGTGAAAAGTAATCAGGGTAATAAACAGTGACACAAACCATACTGCTACGAATGTTATTACAAACGTCAGTCCACTAACAGGCACTATTTCCAATGAATAATTCAAAAATCCAAGCAAAATAACTGAAGAAAACACCGCAACAAAAAATTTCCAGCTCAGCAAAGTGCTGTTTATTGACATTTTAAATGCTTGCACTCGACTGATTTGATATTTGCTGTGCGTTTTTTTATTTACACTTTATCAGTCCTTAATTACATTTTTCGTTTTGTTTTTAATTTAAAGATTAGGTAGATTTTTGACGGTACCCTGACATCTGTCAAATTTAATAAACAAAACACCATCGGCAATATGTGACTCATGCGCAGAGTGACGTCAAATTCGGGCTGATATTTGTTCCATCTTAGGTGAGAGTAAATTAACCATTAATTCTGGTAAATTCCATCTGCTGTTCTTAAAAATCCATAACTATAGTTGATATATCAATGGTAACATTTATTAAACATTAATTTTTGGTAAAATATCCATTATTTTTATGAGATGCTCCTTATTTTTAGAAAATAAGACGAAATTAGTATTAAACTGACAGATATATAACCTCAATTATTTGATAATAATAAAATAATATATTCAAATGTCAAAATTTATATATATTTCAATTAAATGTTATACCTAACTGTTTCTCAAGTAGGTGCCAAAATATGGAAAGCGTGCAGGCATTTAAAACCTTTTTTCTACTCCCTCCTTAAAAACGCCCATTATCGTACATGTTTCCATGACACTAAGTGACCTTTTAATTACACGTTGACAAGTTGTGGCTTTATGGCTCTTCAATCACGGGCTGAAGTTAGCAACAGGTTTTTAGTCATGGGCTGAAGTTAGTTTTAAGTTAGTTGACTGCAGTTGTCAAATGTCATACAATCGTTAAAATAAAGTTCCTTTCTTGTAAAATAATACTAAATGTGAGAACTATTTTATTATCTCAATACAAAAATATAAAAGTATTATATAAAGTTATAGTTTCTTGACGCCAATATTTGAAAAGATTATAAGAACGTTTGTACTGACCTTTTAATTTCGCCGTAGTAATGTAGTTAACTAGATTTAACTGATAAAGCGTTAAACATTTTGCATACAGTGCCCATAATAGTTATTTATGTATTAAGGGCATAATAAGGTTTTTATGGTCCGAGGCGCTATTTCGAGCCCGAGCGCGTTAGCGCGAGGGCTAGAAAAGCGTCGTAGGACCATAAAAACCAGTTATGCCAGCAATGCATACAAAACTTTATGCACGATTAATATATTATTATTTTTAATATATTATTGTTTTTTAAAGACGTTTACGTCAAAAAATTTTTGTAATAATTGTCATATTATAATGTCAACTGACATCAGTCAGTTTTAAAGTTTAAAGATGAATGAAATTGAGGAAGCAGCTGAAAAGGCGAAAAATTGCGGCCTGCTGCCGGAATAATCAAAATCTTTATACGAAAAAACTTACTTCCTATATATCAAATGGTGTAACATTGTTGTTTTTAATTTTTGACGTTTCATTATAGCCCGCTGGGCCATAATAACGCCCGCGGGCTATAAAAAGACGTTTACGTCAAAGAATTTTTGTTATAATTGTCATATTATAATGTCATCGTGCATAAAACATTATAATGCCCATAAAGAGAAGATATATCTTCTCTTTTAATGTGAAAAACTGCTTCTATATCGATTGATTTTTAAGGCATACATTTTGATTTACACCAAGTTAGAAATTCTAACGGGAATTCCAATAATTACAGTCACTTTTTGTACCTTGAACATTTCCCTTGCAAGAATTTTTAATACTTTGTGATAATATTTTGCAATTATAGTAATAAAAAAAATCAAAGGATAAAATATTTTCTTAACATAATCATATTTTGAAGTTATTTTAATGTTTTAAAGTGTCAATAATTGTTAAGTTTAATTAAAATTTATAACAGGCAATGTTAATGGTGAAAATTACGTCAAATTTTAAAATGTTTATTTGGATGGTTACTTTATTCTCGTAGAGATGTCGCTTTAAACAAATATTTAACTTAAATAATTTTTTAGATAATATTAAGTATTTGTCGTAAAAAAATATAGTATGCAACTTTTCTAGGAACTAATTTAATTAAGCACTCGCTCGCAAGCTCGCTTGTGCCTGAATTAAATTCGTGACTAAAATAGCGTTTGATACATAAATTATGTAACATAATATACTAATATTTATTATTTTCATAAATTATTACCCAAAGTGTTTTTTGATTTGAATAAAGGTTTTTTGTTATTTTGTTTATTAATACTATTTTACTGTTACCAAAGCTATAACATTTTATATTTTTTATGTATAAGCTGTAAAATATTTGTATTCAAAATAAAAAATAATTAAAATCAATAAATAAATTAGTGGACCAAAATTAAATTAAGCAATAGGTGTATATGCAAAACGATTGTATACGGTCGTCCACCAAGCACAACTAGTTTTTGTCTTTGCTTGGGTGAGTGACTTTCGACTTGTATTGCTTATTCTCTCCTCAACTGTTTAGTTTTAGATACACTGCGCGAAAGTCCAACACCGCATCTGCACTTAATATCGGACAAATTCGCGATATTTCAGCAGAATATATCTTTAAAAATTACGTCGTGTAAGATAAAATGCAATAACTGTTCAAGTTATGTTTAAAATTAGTTTTTATGAAGAATTATTAGTGCCATTTTGGATAACATGTGTTTTGCCATCTTTTAGGATTTTTAAGGTAAGTGATTCACTGGTGCATTTTTTGAACGCACCTCTAGGCTACTTTCAAAGCTCAAGATTGGATAATGTTCATATGCCGGTGACCTTATATGGAAAACACATTTAAATTTTATGTAACGGAGGTGCTGATATTCGCAGCTGTTTCTTCTAAGCTTTATTCTGCATCGAGGATAATTAATTTCACCATATAAATCATAAAAATACCATACGAGTATTTAGAATAAATTTATTTTATTTAAATGTCCTTAGTTAACTAACTAGTAGCAAATAGTTAATTATTATTTTCAATATAATATTTATTTGTTTTGGCGATTTTTTTTAAATTTAATTGTTGAATTAAAAATATGAAAATGCATTTTTTGCGTTCTTAATTAGTGTTTTTTAATGAAATTGTACTATGTAAAACACATTTTATTGGCTCCCAAATTTAAACGCCTGGGAAAAAATGTTAATAATATTATGGCAATTTATAATCGATCAATCAATCAAAAAATATGTAAATTTAAATAGGCATGATTTATTTTATTTAAATGTTAACTAGTGAGATATGACCTATGATTAAATGTGTTATATAATATTTTATTGTTGAATTTGGTACACATTTAAAGAATTAAAAATATCAAAAATAATTTTTCAATTCTTGTTCATTATTTTTGAATAAATAAAGTTTATTTATTTATTTACTTTTATTTGGTTTTGAGGTCTAAATATTCATATAAATCTTACCTAGATGGGTTAAAAATATCACAATGATCATCTTATAAATTTTAATGGTATATTAATATATAATTATTAGGGATGGGATTTTAGTTATTTTACCTTTTTTTAACCGATGTAACTATTTGAAAACGAATAATGCCAAAATGTGTTTTAAAAGATTTTCTTTTATATAAACCTAACTTGTTTTCACCTTTTTTACCTTTTTTTGAGGTTTTTGCCTTAAACTACCTTTTTTATACTTTTGTTACCTATTTTTTTAAATTGTTTTCACCTTTTTTACCTTTTTTGGAGGTTTTTGCTTTAAACTACCTTTTTATACTTTTGTTACTTATTTTTTAATTTGTTAGTTTATTTTCACCTGTTTGTTACCTATTTTGACGTATTTTTACTTATTTTATTTTTTTGTGTTCTTTTTAAATTTTGCGACAATATTTTATCCAGTTCCTTATAGCTTTAATTAACTATTGGTCAGTTTATAAAAAAAATATTTTACGCTACTTATTTTATAAAAATAAACGAAACTTGAACTTTTAATGTTTTTTTTTACCTAAAATGCTGTTTTTTTAACCTAAAATGCTTTTTTTTAGTACCTTTTTAGTTAACTATTTTTCAGTTTTTAGTACCTAAATATCCCATCCCTAATAATTATGTATCAAGTTTTTTAAACGCCATTTTTGTTACGAGTTTAATTAAACACGATCGAAGCTTGCGAGCGAGTGTTTAATAAAAACAAGTGTCTAGAGAAGTTTATAAACGAGTTGCATACTATACTTTATCTACGACGAACACAAAACAGAATTTAAAGCCAATTTTATTTGTTAAAAATTTGTCACATGTTTTTAAAAATGAAAATGATCTTTTCTCCTTTATTACTTAATATTTTAGATACGGGGGTTTGGCTTAGCAGGGCAGTATTATTGAAATTGATATTATTGCTTTAAGCAAATTATTTAAAATATTTTTAATTTAAACCCAGCTGATGAAATTTTGAATATATAAACTGGATTACCCAATTACCCAATAAAATATACCTCCAGAATCGTCGCCTTATCTTCATAACTCTATTATTCACGGTAATGTCGTTTTTCTCATGAACATTTTTATGCTTTATAGTATATTATTTATGGTCAGAGATAAGATCATAAACAAAAATACCGTTTCGCAGAAATTTTTAAAAAATTCCCTCTATCGATGTTACTGTTGGAAATACCACGTTGCATTGAAAACTTTTTTTAGCGCAAACCAAAAACGTCAAAGTAATAGACGAATCAGTTTTTACCTTTACGTTTTTGCAGAAAACTCGTTAAAATGCAGTATAGTTGGACAGTTACATTTTTTTAATTTTGTTTTAATAAATATACCTGTATCCCAGAACAAAACTGTATTTAGTCCACTTTTTTTAAATCATGTAACATATTTTTGCTCTTTCCAATGGTAAAAAGGATTGATTAGTTTTTGATACATCAAAAAACTAAGTAAGCAAGTAGGTACTTTATCCTTTATCACTTTTGCATAAGTGCATGCTACTGTTTTTAATTTAAAAAAACATGAAAGTTAACGTAATTCTTAGGCATTCGTTTGGCAGCCATTGGTTTTGTCCTCCCGGTAAAATCGTCGACAGCACTACCAGTTAAACAACCGTCGACCTCAACCGCTTACACATGATCTACGATCATGGTTTAAACTAATCCAGTGGCTGCCAAACAAATGCTTAAGGGTGACTTTTGACCTCATTTTGTATATATAGTTTTCGGAGAAAATTAAACAGTATTTTGTTGAGAACATAGATAATATAATAAATATACTGTCCAGACCAGCCAGTCACTTTTTCAAACAGTTTCTGAAATATCTGTGTTT